TGTTTGCCATTTGGGGTAATTAATTTCTAAAATAGAAAATTTTAGAAATTAAACATTTCAGGGTGTGTCGCTACGTTCAAAATAAAATTCACTTGCCGATCGCGGATTTACCCCGACGGGGCGATGGCAGCATCGCCTCTTCTGGACCAGTCCTCCAGTAGCCCATCTTCTATGCGGGGAGACCGGGTAACTATGCAGGGGCCATGCTTTCTCTGCATCCTCCTTCCTGTCCTTCAGTCTGAAAAAAGAAACATTTCAAAATTAGAAACAAAATTAAAAATTACAATTTTTCATACAACCATGTTTTTTCAGTTATTATAATTATAAAATAAAAAAATCTTACCGTGGACACCCTTCGCCCATGCCCGATCTCCATCCCGGAGCGGCACTCGAACGGCGGTTTCCAAATTGGCAAAAAAAATCACTCACACGCGGTTTTAAGAATTTCGTTCACTCCCGGAGCAGGTGTTAATTTAAAAAAACTTTCATTTAATACGATCGCGATTTTAAATATTGCGAACACTCCCGAAATGAAAAAATTATTTTATTTTAAACAAAAGTTGAAGAAAAGAAAATTACTTCCTATATAACTCGATCGCGGGTTTAAAGAAATTGCGAACACTCCCGGAAGCTAGCACTGACTTGAAAGAATTAAAAATTTTAATAATAGCTTCAAGGCGATTCTTTCAAACTAAATAGCCCTCGGAGATCCCTACTTTCAAGTTAAATTTCCATTCAGCAAATGTGAAAAATAACCGTAAAAATAGACCAAGTGCTAATAAGTTTGAAGAATTATGTGTTCTTCAAAGATAAGATACCCTTTTTTACTTTCGCTCTTATCTTTGAAGTACGTGACACCATGAGCCATCGAGGAGAAAGACATTGTCACGTCAAAAAAATTCAACCCCTAAATATTACTCGATCGCGAGTTTAAAAAAAATACGAAACACTTCCGAAAGCTAAAACACGGATTTTAATAAGAATTAAAAATGCTGATTTAATTTTCACAAACACTCAATAATTGAAACGCCCGATGATAACTTGCGATTTTGAACCGATGTAACTGACCGACGCTAGAGAAATGATCCCACCTCATGAAATTGATGAAGCCCAAAAGTGAATTTGAAACCACGTGATCATACGAAATTTAGACGCGTGAGGATAATTTTGATTTTTGCACCAATCACGTTTAAGGCAATGGAGGGGGATGTGAAAATGTGAGACTGACAGGGTAGAAACGCGTCTATTGTTTTCTCTCTCACTCTTATTTATGTAATATGTAATTTTAGAATATTATAATATTTAATTAACATTAAATATATAAATTATGCAACAAAAAAATATTAATTTTTTAAATTAGAATGTATATAAGGATGATTCTCCGCGTAGCGCACAACTTGCTTTTTTTCATGTTGTGAAAGAAAAATCACAAATAATATTCACATAATATTTCGATTTCAATGTAAAAAGGTAATTTCTGTGACTACAAACAAAAACCAATAGTTACTTTTGTATTTAAGATTATAATTTTTCGTGAAAAGTGGTTTTTAAGGCTGAAAACGTCAAAATTTGACCTGTCCCCACAGGATGTTTAAACAAAAAAGTTAATATTTTTAGCAATGTGCACTTATAAATACAATTTCTATTGCTATTTTAGTATTGTATATTGTAGTGGAATTGAATAAAAAAAACGTTTGATAAAAAAAAAATTATTTTCTTTTTTTTTTGCTATTTATACTTGACTGCACTTTTGTGTGTTATTCTGCGTTTTATTATTAAACATTGAATTATTTAAATAAAAGTCAAATGTTAATATAGTTCTACTTCAGTAACAGCAAAAGTTATATTCCTTAAGTTGATCCATGAAGAAAATAATCAATTTTCTAATTGATTTATCCTTTTTTTACACATTTCAAGATTCAAATTTGTACAGGGCATCACAAATTCGTCTCCACCGGCATCCACCGACCCTTCAATATTTTTTTAACCCATTAACGACCGCCAGGACGAAAAATTTACCTTCACTTAGCAGCTGTTATTTTATATGAAAAAATAATTTAAAAAATTCAGGATAGCCCATTTCTAACGTAAAATTTATCGCTCTTTTCGATTCTGAAGTACAAATTTAATTATAATTAAATCCTTAATATTTATAACAATTTTATTGCAAAAAAACATGATTTTCTGCAAAAAAATTTTTATTCAAAAAATATTTTGACATGGACAACGACAGTTAATTTGCTCCGGAACCCAAAATATCGCGTCTTCGAATACCCAGCTACAAAACTATATAGTTGCGAATTTCAAAATTTAAGATGGCGGACGACAAAATGTCGATTTTCCACTAAAAACGATTTAAAAAATACTATTTTGCAAAAAATAATATATTGATGAATTATTTTTATTTCTGCACCATATACTTATGTTTTTTGGGTCACTAAACACGAATACGGTATAAGTTTTCAAAAATTCAAAATGGCGGATCCAATATGGCGGACAATTTTTTCAAAAACTCAATGGATTTATCTGAAATTTGTTACTCGGGGGTTTTGGGGTCGCCGGTCACGAATCTGAAGTTACTTTTCAATAATTCAACATGGCGGATCCGAAATAGCCTACAAATTTTAAAATTCACCGAATTTGCTCGAAAATCAATACTTATTGAGTTTTTGGGGTCGTTGATTTCGAATTACTTCACTTTATATTGAAATCGAACACATTTTTTATTACTGATCTACTATTTTATTACTGTGTGACCATAAATTTCACCATTTCTACCGTCAAAGGAGTACTGAAATAATTAAATTGTTTAACATTTTTTATAAAAATGTCTAAAGAGACGCGTACTTTAAAGGATTTTCTGCAGGGTTTTTAATTTGTAGGCTATTTCGGATCCGCCATGTTGAATTATTAAAAAGTAACTTCAGATTCGTAACCGGCGACCCCAAAAACCCCCGAGTAACAAATTTCAGATAAATCCATTGAGTTTTTGAAAAACTTGTCCGCCATATTGGATCTGCCATTTTGAATTTTTGAAAACTTATACCGTATTCGTGTTTAGTGACCCAAAAAACATAAGTATATGGTGCAGACATAAAAATAATTCATCAATATATTATTTTTTGCAAAATAGTATTTTTTAAATCTTTTTTAGTGGAAAATCGCCATTTTGTCGTCCGCCATCTTAAATTTTGAAATTCGCAACTATATAGTTTTGTAGCTGGGTATTCGAGGACGCGATATTTTGGGTTCCGGAGCAAATTAACTGTCGTTTTCCATGTCAAAATATTTTTTGAATAAAAATTTTTTTGCAGAAAATCATGTTTTTTTGCAATAAAATTGTTATAAATATTAAGGATTTAATTATAATTAAATTTGGACTTCAGAATCGAAAAGAGCGATAAATTTTACGTTAGAAATGGGCTATCCTGAATTTTTTAAATTATTTTTTCATATAAAATAACAGCTGCTAAGTGAAGGTAAATTTTTCGTCCTGGCGGTCGTTAATGGGTTAAAAAAATAGAATATAATTAAATAATAAAGGTTAAATAAAGTGTAGTTATATTATTTTAGTCCATATATATCTGAAACATATGAAACCGATTAAAAATAAATGATAATTTTCTCAAAAAAAAATAAAAATTATTAACGTTCGTTCCAACGGATCGACCAACCCCAGCGTCTCCACCCGCCACAAAATTTCGACCGTCACTAGTCCAAGTTTAATACACAATGAAACAAACGAAATTAAAAATATTTATTATAAACTATCATAGCTCCGGTAAGTTTATTATAACTTACCAAATAAATTTCTATAAATTTCCATAAATTACCGCATAAATTTCCATAAATTACCTCCAAAATTTCCGTAAATTACCGAAATGAAAATTTTTAATTGTCGTTCGCGCTATATATATTTTTGTGAATTACCCCAAAACTTCCCATAAACATTTTAAATCAAATTTCAACTATTTTATAGAATTCAACAAGCAAAGAATTTTTTTTAATTTGTTTAAAAAAATTAAAAAATTATAAAAATTTTTTCCGGACCACCATGGATATTTATTTCTTGACACTTTATCTTCAAAAATATGTATTGATATTTATCATTTGGATAAAAAAATATTTTTAAAGTTTCAGACACCAAATTGTGCGCTACGCGGAGAATCACCCATAATCATAATACTACAATATAAGAATCGAAAATATATTTAGAAAAAAATTTATCACCATCATTTAAAATTCAATAAGAGTGACAAAGATAGAAGAGACGCACGCCTGAATTTCGCGCGACCACGTGACTCAATTGGCGCAATTTGAATTTAATTATCATTAAATATGATGCATTAAAAATTTTTTTACTGAAATAAAAATTAGTTTAATACAATAAGAATACAGTAGATAAAATTTTATATTTTAATGAAATTTTCATAAAATTATTTCATAAAATTTTTTCGAATTAATTTTATTCCAAATTTTTAAAATAATGCGAGACTGAAAGTTTCAAGCGAATTTCAAAATAGGTCACTTTTCAGAAGATATATATTGGATTTGGGTTTTCGAAATTTTAAATATTTGACCTTAAATTCGGATTTAGCGTTCAAAATACCTTAAATAACATCAGTGTGATGTATATCTGCTAATTTTTGTTTTGGTTTTTTTTAAGTTTTTTGTAAGTACGTGTATAGACATATATTGCAGTCAAGGGGTTATATTCTCTTTTTTCTGAATTCATAAAACTTATTTATTTTTTTTGCAAACAAAAATAAAATTCTCAATTTTTCTTTAATCCAATGACGTTCCATTTTTTTTAATTTTCTATTTTCTTTTACTAAAATTCTCGAGTTTTTTATTCTTTTTCGATTTTTCCTTAAAAAATTATAATTTTTTTCAATTGCTTCGATTTTTAATTTTTCTAATTTTTACAATAATTTTTCATTTTTATTTACATAATTTCTAATGGAATTTAAAAAAATAAAAGATATTTATTTTATTTACAGGAAATGTGAGAAGTTTAATAAAAATACCAAACGCAAAGGCCAGATCGACAATTGATAATTTTGTCATATACTTAAGTCCAGGAGATTCTAAAGACATGAAATTAAGTCTAAACACGGATGAGTCTTATAAACTGAAAATTTCTCTAAGTGGCAAACTTCTGGAAGCAAAGATTACAGCTAAAAGTTATTATGGAGTTCGCCACGGTTTAGAAACTTTAAGTCAAATGATATGGTGGGATGAGACAGTGGGAAAACAGGGAATGCTACGTGTATTAAGTCATGTTACAATTGATGATAAACCAAAATTTCCCTATCGTGGACTATTAATTGACACGGGTCGTCAATATTTTTCAATTGATGAATTAAAACGTGTCATCGATGGAATGTCAGCATCAAAACTGAATACATTTCATTGGCATCTCACTGATTCGCAAAGTTTTCCATTTGACTCGGCCATATTTCCGGAAATGGCACGTTGGGGTGCCTACAGTGGAGAACAAGTTTACACTCCTGAGGACGTTCGAGATCTTGTGCATTATGCAAGGATCAGAGGGATCAGAATTCTCATCGAGATTGATTCCCCTGCTCACGCTGGCGCTGGTTGGCAATGGGGTTAGTAGATGAAGTACATAATCCTTGATAAAAGCCGAACTGAGTAGTATTCAACAAATGTTATAACTCATTGAATATTTATGTATGCAACTTGCATGTTGAGAATTCGATATTTTCATTTGTTCTCACATATACATATTTAATATTCATTGTTTTTCAAATTTTTCTCTTCTTTTGTTTAATAAAACAAAACAAATTTATTGAAAATTTATTATTTACAGGTCCTGAACATGGATTAGGTGAATTATCATTATGCGTGGATCAAATGCCCTGGGCATCTTATTGCGGAGAACCGAATTGTGGTCAGATAAATCCAATCAATGAACATTCCTATCGAATTATTCAAGGACTTTACAAAGAACTTTTGGATTTAACTGAAATTCGTGACATCATTCATTTGGGTGGTGATGAAGTTAATCTCGATTGTTGGGCACAATATTCAAATATAACGGCTGCAATGCAAGCACAAAATATAACTGATCATTATGCCCTGTGGGGAGATTTTGAAATGAAACTATTGTTGAGTATACTTAAAGTGAATCAGGAAAAAATTCCACAAGCTGTAATTATATGGAGTTCACCATTAACAAAAAAGCCTCACATTACAACATATTTTGATTCTAAAGTTCATGTGATACAATCATGGGGTGGTAGTAATTGGCAAGAAACACAAGATTTATTAGACGATGGATTTCGCGTAATTCTATCACATGTGGATAAATGGTATTTTGATTGTGGTTTTGGAAAATGGAGAGAAACAGGCGATCCAGCTTGTGGAGAATATCGCACTTGGCAAACTGTCTATAATCATAGGCCCTGGCAGGAATATCCACAGAAACAATTGAATCTCATTCTTGGAGGAGAAGCTGCTATTTGGAGTGAGCAAGTGGGACAAATGTCCTTGGGACCTCGACTCTGGCCTAGGGCATCAGCACTTGCCGAAAGATTGTGGTAAATTATTATACATTGCGGAAGGGGGGGGGGGACAATTCAATTCAGGGCACATGAATTTTCCATCAAAATTATTAATTCAAATTTTCATTTTAAAAAATGTTATTAAATATAATTATTTTTCGAATTAAAATTTGACAGAATTTCTTTTTAAATGAATTCAGGATGGCCACCCAACCGGAAGGACCGGGAAAAATTTCAATTGGGAACAAACTGGGAAAAAGTCGGGATTGAAATTTTACACCAGGAGATTTTTTCAAATTTTTTCATCAAGCCGTTTACGAGATATGAATTTTTCAAAATTTTTATTTCTTATTTTTGAATGCTCATAACTTTCTTATAAATGTATCAATTTTAAGTTGTTCTTTTTCCAAAATGTGTGTTTTTAACTAAACTTTTCAACAATTTCATGCAAAAATTTATGCAATTAAAATTTACTATATTTTTTGTAATTTAAACGTTAAAATCTTGTTTTTAAAACTGTTTGTATTCTTCCATTTCTTTTTTTTTAATTTTCAAAAAAACTACTTCCTTTTACAAAAATTTTAAACTTGGTCTGGTCATTTTTATATCTTATGCACTTTTTGAAAATTTCGCAAATTTTAAAAAATTCCAAAAATATTGAAAAAATTATTTTCCCATGACTAAACCAGGCTTAAAATTTTTATAAAAGGAAGTAGTTTTTTTTTAAATTAAAAATAAATCGAAGGATACAAACATTTTTAAAAACAAGATTTTAAATTACGAAAAATATAGTAAATTTTAATTTTATAATTTTTTGCATGAAATTTTTGAAAAGTCCAGTTAAAAACACACATTTTGAAAAAAACTTTTATAATTGCTGCATTTTTAAAGAAGTTATAAGAATTAAAAAATAATTTTTTTTTTATCTCACCGGGAGATAAAAAGTCTAAAAATAGTGGTCACCACCCTAGAATTTTTACTTAATAGATGTTTGAGATACTAATTTTTTGTTGAACAGAATTTTTATTAATTCTTATTTAATCGAATATTAATTAATTTAGCAGAATTCTCATTCAACAGAATTTTAAGTGATTCGATATTTAAATGCAAAAATTTCCAATTCGCCGAATTCACAATTTGCTTAATAATTTCTGATTGATTAATTTTTTTTCGGACAAATGAAAATTCAGCGTTTTAAGAATTCTATCAAGTAATAATTCGTGCAATTAAAAAATCCGGTGAATTAGAAATTCTGATATTTAAAAATCCCGTTGAATGAGAATTTTGCTGAATTAATGTCGTATTAAATTAGAATTTTTTAAAAATAAAAATTTGGTAAAGAGAAAAAAAAAATTTCAGTTTACCAAAAAATCATAATTTGTCATAAAAAGTTAAATTTTTTAAAAAAAGATCAATTTCAATCACAACAAACAATATGATGATCAAGTTTATGATCAAAAAATTTTTAAAGAAATATTTTGTTCAATGAAAAATTCTATAAATTTTCATCTCATTTCTTGCAATATTTATTGATCGGCAGATTATAAAAAACATTTTTTTAGATAAAAATTTTTATAATTTTCCGTTTCAAAAAATATTTTCTTTTTTAATCATTGATTATAAAAATTGTAAACTTCATCATCGTAAATAGTTATAATAAATATTTAATTTTTTTTTTATAAAATTATGAAAAAAATTGATTAAATTAAAAAAAAATCGGAAATAATGATTACATTTTCCTGCATTTTTTTAAATCACTAGTTATGAACTAAACAAAACTTTTTTGACAAAAAAATTTAAATTTTATTTCAGGAGTGATTTACCAGAAAACGGCTTTTCTGTAGAAGAAAATGTATACACAAGATTATCCACACACATGGATATTCTGACGGCTCGGGGACTTAAAATAGAGGCAATGTGGCCACACTGGTGCTCTCAGAATCCAGGAAAATGCCTTTGACTGAGGTAGAAATTAACGGATAAACGTAAAGCCATTTCAGTACACCACAGTGACTCGAGGAAGCAAAGCTGTGAATTAATTATAATAATAATACTAATTGTTTTATCATTTATGAGGCCATTCATCAATTTCATCATGTCATGATTTTTTGCTATTATAGACTGATTATTGTCAAAAGAATTTGCGCTTTTCGATATAAAACATTATTCAATCGTCACAAATAACAAAAAAAAAAAAAAAACAAAACAAAACAAAACTGCAAACATAAATACGTTTTTTAGAAAATTTTTTAGAAAATCTTTTGCTGAACACAATATTATAGATTTATACATTGTTGAGCTTGTATTCGAGACTCAATTAAAATAATACTGAAAAAACAATTTTAAGAAATGCGAATTTTAATAAGAGAAGCAATAATCATGAACGAAATTTAATTTGCGACATTTAAAAAAATAATATATATATATATATATATATATATATGCTCAAGCTAATGGCACCTATGACTGTTTCAAGTTAGAAAAAAAAATACAAAATACAGATCAGTCTCTTAGCACTGAGTACTTTAGATAAAAATATTATTCCACATAATAAATAGATGAAAGCAAAGAGTTTTCATGATGGGGTCCAATGAAGGGCTTGATGAGAGCTTACTTTTATATTTATATGTATAGAAAAAAAGGAAGAACAAAAAGGAAATTTTTCTTTTTGTTTCAGTGTAGCAAAATTTGCTTTAGGTGATTATCAAAGAAAGTAAAAATAATTATTTATGAAATGAAGGAATGAAAGTTATTCATGCAATAATAAATAAAATATTTATGTGCTTGTGAATATGAGAAATATGGTGCAGTTTCGGAGTGAAAATAATCATTTTAAGTAACGAAGTGAAAAGTACTTTTTGTTACTAAAGTTTTTAAAAGAAAACATTGTTTATATAATTTTTAATACTAAAAATCTAAATAAGAATTATTAATTTATTTTATAAGTTTATCAAATTTAATTTTTAGTATTTTTTTTTTTTTATAAACTGCAGTTATTATATATTTAACGTTAAAAGAAACATTTGATAAGAAATGACAAAATTAATCTATTAATAATTTTATTGATAATATATTTATTGTGCAATAATTAAAATAATTCTATGTAATAAAATTTTAAGTCGATGTAGGGGAAAAAAAATTTTTTATATACTTATTTGTATAGCAATTATTATTGAAGAAAATTAACAAACAAATTAAATTCATTTCGTTCAAAGTGCCTTTTCTACTTTGTTTTTGCACCTTAAACGCAAACAAATGCAAAAAATACTTAGTAATTCTCGTTCCTAAAAAAAAAAAATAGTTCTGTGGACAGGACTGAAAAAATGTAGGTACCGTATTCTAATCTTCAGAGTTGATATTAATATTTGATGTGCGTGAAAGACAACGTATAATATATAAATATGAAATGTATACTTAACGAAAAAAAAAAATTGTTATGGAATATAAATGTTTGTGTTTGGTGGATTAGAGTTTATAATTGAAATGCCATCCATTAAATGAATCAATTTAAACTAGTTTATAATAACTAGTAGACTTTTTAGTTCTATCGATATATGTAAATTTACAAGATTTAAATTTCTTTAAAAATGTTAAAAAAATTTTTTTAATCTCTTAAAAAACAGATTTTCAATTTTTGTAAAAACGTGGAAAAGATTATTATAAAATCTGTAAAAAATAACAATATAAAACAGAAAAATAATTCTATTATATTATAGTAAAAAGTATTAAACACGGCAGAGCGATACTTTTTTTGTATGCTGATTTTTAAACAGATGCTTAATTTAAATTAATTAAAGGATCGAAAATTTTTATATATATATATATATGTGTGATAGAGAAGTTTATGTAGTTGACAGTTGAAATAATTTTTCTTAGAATTATATTTGATATAGTAAGACTGTTAGGTGAGAAGAGGCATTCTAGAATAGTTTATATTATTTTATCTGCAAATTGATTTTTTAAAAAATCGAAAACAAAGATCGAAATATCTCATATGGATAGCAAAATTATTATTGTAAAGTTTTTGTTTTTAAAACAGGTTCGGTATTTTTTTCACGGTTGTAAAACTGTAAAAAAAACATTAGATTCTACTGTGTAGATTATAAATGAATCATGAAAATAAATAATTTAAGAATAATCACATTAGTATCAGCATCATCGCCATAAATGATTTAGATATGCGTGTGACATGAAATTCCAAAAATGGCCTATAATTGAAAATACACGCTTCGATTTCACTTGCACAATATGGGACTTTAAATGGATTTATAATATAAAAGAATTTCACGTTCTTCACAAAGATTTTAGATTTTCACATAATATATAATTTAAATGTAAATTTTATTATGAAACATCTCGATAAAATTTTCTCTCTTTAAAGTCCTTTATTTAATGCAAAAAAATATACAGATTGTAATTAAATTGTACTTACACATCGACTGTTTGATAAGAGAAAAAAAAAAAAACATTTTCGCAGGAAGAAATGGTGAATTTTAACTTTAAAATAATAGAAAAATATATTTCTTTGTTTTTTATTTCTTTTACATTATTTTTAGAAACGAATGTCTTAAGTTATTAACAATAATAGGTTAATTAGATGACAATTATGCGTAGTGCAATTTTATTTTAATTCTGTACATATTATGAATATTATTATTATTTCAAAAATGATATTCATTATTTCACCTCATGTTTTAGTCAAAATTATTGTTACAAACTGTAAATTATTGAACTTAAACATTAAAATTTTACTACAAAGTGATCTGCATCTTTGATTGTATTTTGATATTTAATCCTTGATGAGTTCTATACAATTCAACTTAATTAAAATTTTAGAATTTGAATAATAATACTTATAACTAAATTTAATTTAGAAAATAAATTGTGAAAATTTTTCACATTTCAAAATAATTGCAAAAAAATTAGAACCAATTGACAACCTAATAAATCCTTTTTATGACATTTGTTTATTTTTTTTTTTTGCAAACATGAAATGCATTAAAGAATTTCATTTGTTTTATTTAGTTTTGTCATGGGAGAAATTTTATTTTCAACCATAATAGCGTTACTTTGATTTTCTGATTTTTTTGTATTATCAACATTTGATGAAATATTGGTACACATGACAATTTTTGGTGTTGAAGTTTTTGATTTCTTTTTAAAACATTTATTTATAATAAAGAAATAAATTACTTCAAAAACACTAACAAAAGAGCCACCAACACAAAGACCTAAAATACCACCAAGTGACGCTACAACAAACAAATAATTATAATAATTTTTCGAAATTTTGAAAACGCAAAAAAAAAAAAATTAAATAAACTTACCAATAAGATCATTCAATGATTTCCATTTATCTCTTTTATATTTTATACAAGTAATATCACGAAAATATATCACAGCTGTAGAAGTCTTATTAATATCCAAACCATTTCTGAAAATAATCAATTTTTTTTTAACTTTATAAAAAATTATTTAATTTATTTTTCATATGCAAAAGTTTGAAGATTATTAAAATTTATTTTTCATATTTTTGTATTTCTGAAAAAACAAAAAGAAAGTAATTTAAAAATTTTATAAATATTAAATAATACTTTAATCTTACAATAACATAATGTTATTATGAAATGATTCCATATAAGCACTTTCTGTATTTAAAGTGTACCAATTATCAGTACATAAAGGAAAACAAGAGCAATTTGTCTTTTTTGGTTGTTTTTCATCATCATTATCTTCTTGTTCTTCTTGTTCTTCTTCTTCTTCTTCAGACGAACTTACATCATAAGCATTCACATCACTGTCTGTTTGTAACTCAGAAATATTTTCTAAAAGAAAAAAAAATGAAATTAATATATTTAATATATTTTTTATAAAATTTTATAAATTCATTCAATTAAAATGTAATTTGTAAGAAATTATTTTATTACTTACTTCTTATGGATTGTAAACATTCAATATCCCTAAGATTACAAATTCTTACATCAGGATCTATAAAGTTTGATCAAATATAACATATGGTTAAAAGTTAATTTAAAAAAAAATGTAATAATAGGGTTGCCACAAGAAAAAAATTTGTCGATTTCTCTGAAATTTTTTTTTTTTTATTAAATTTAATGAGAAATCTAATAATTTGAAATTAGAAAAACTAATAAATTATTTTTCAACATTCCTGAATGTTTTTTACATTGTAAATTTAATTATTTTTCAAAAATTATATCTGCAAATTAATCGAATCATGAGAAAGGTGAAAAAGGTAATAAATTATCAAAATAAGGTGAAATAGGTGAGAAAATTTTAAATAGGTGAACTAGAGGACAAATTTCCTTGACAAAAAAAAAAAACTTTCCTGACTTGTGGCTACCCTGAATAATACATCAACTAAATAAATATAAAATTCGAAGCTTACAAATTTTAGGATAGTAGAAAGGTATGCATTTACAATGAGTTACAATAAATTTTATTCTGCATTGTGAAACGCAAGACTGATATCCATAAGTGGTGCTTATATTCAACTTTTTCTGTAATTGATTTTTACAAGAATAATTAACAGCTGATTATTTTTATTATTTATTTTATTTTAAATAAAAAAATAGAAATTTTATTTTAATTTTTATTAATTTTTTTTTTATATTTATTTTAAATTGAATAAGACATACCTCATCTTTAAATAAACAATTTCTTAAATTAAGTGGTAAGTCACGAATGCCTGGTTCACTTTCAATAATTGTTCCTGATAATAAAACAGTAACTTCTTGAGAAGGTTGAATAATAATTGATCGCAAATCAACTTCAGGAAATTCATTTGGATGATGTATCAAAATTGATGCTCCAATATATGGTTTAATGCTACCAATATAGTATTCACTTTCAAGATCAAAATGCACTATTAATCCATAATCTCTGCCAGCACCCGGTACAAACTAAAAAACAAAATTAAAAATTAAAATTTAAAAAATATATTTTTTTTCAAATTTGACTTACTTGAATTTCATCAACACCTGGTTGCCCCTCATCTTTAATTTTATTATAATTCCAATCTTCTTTAGTGGTATTATCAACGTTCCTGCTCATAAGTATAGATTATTTCTATATAGTTTTTCATTTTTTTTTTTAACCCCTTCACTGTTATTGACCTCTATAGAGGCATAAAAATGTCGTGCCACCAGTGTGCATGACCGCTATAGCGGCATCTCAAAAAAAATAAGTAGACACAAAATATGATAAATTATCGATAGTTTACTTCATTATTTTAATAATCGTTTACTTCATTATTTTAACAATACAATAAACTTGTCAATGGGTATTCTTAGATTTTCGGGTTTTTTTTAATATCAATTTAAAAAAAAAAAAATTTTTTTCCCACATACGGGACACTGAAGCTTTATTTTTGCTACACTGCGAAGGGGTTAATAAATATTACAAATCAAAAAAATAGCTTACAATTTTTTGTTGTGTCTCACATGATAATTGAAGGAACAACAAAATCCTTCGCTGGATTTAGTGGCCTTAAATATTTTATTACAATCATATTCTTGATCGAGCCAAACGCAAAGACGAAGCATTTTGCTGCACGGTTGCATTAACTAATGGAAAAAAATTCAACAAAAAAAGAAAAAAAAATTATTGTACAAAATTAGTAGACAGAAAATTTAATTTAAAAAAGGGACACATGAATAAGCTCTAAAAAATTTTTTTTAGAATTATAATTTGATAGAAACTTATTCTTTAGAATATTAATTTTGCAGAATATTTATTTTTATTTGAATTGAATTTCTGACAAATTAAATTTACGTCTAAATAAAAATTTTGTCAAATTGATTTTTGACCATTTGCATTTTCTAAAACATTAATATTCGAACAAATAAATATTCTGCAAAATTAATATTCTAAAGAATAAGATTCTATCAAATCATAATTCTAAAAAAAATTTTTTAGTTATTTATGCGTCCCATTAAAAAAATAATATATTTTTATTATTATTATTTACTTCAAACATAAGTTGCTCCATTGTTTTATTAATACGCTCCAAAATAGAGGACATATTTTTAAAATTTTCTCTTTGAAATGAAGGTCTAATTAATTGAGGCAGTAATTTGAAAAAACTATCAATTTCTTCTTGTCCAATATTTTTCTTTAACCTGCATTATTTGAAATTTAAATTTATTATAAAATATTTTACTTTAATAACATTAAATTAAATATAAACTGAAAGAAAATATATAACAAAATTTCGTTAATACTTTTCAATTTAGGGAAAACTTGTCAAAACTGGAAAAAATTGATATAAAATATATTAAATATCAGTAAAAATTTTGTAGAATTACTGTAAATTATGTTAAAGTTCGTAAATATTTACAAAAATTTGCAATTTCCCTAAATTGAAAAATATTTACTAAAATCTCTACTATACTTAAGAAGGTTCGGGGGATCATTTGAGGGGCAGGCAGGGAAGAGGGAGTACCAATGCTTCAGCATACGAATTTTAATTTCATACCAACATAATATCGTTAATGAAAATATGCATTTACTTTTATTCTATTGTATGAAACACACCTAATTTAATTTATTTAATTATATTTTAATATATTCTTGCATATAAATGTGTATAATTGTGAATTTATCGTTAAAATAATTTAAAAGAAATATAACATCTGACTGCAGTTGACTTGGCAACGCTGCATTTATTGTGTAGTGTTGGCTAACATGAGTAAAACTTTCGTTGTCTATTTTCATCTCAGTCCGTCGTAGGTTATCTCATTTCCTTTCTCGCTTACTCTGTCAGTGTATTTGCTAACAACTTCACATAGTATGCGCGTGTGTTGTCAAATGTCAATTGACAAACCTAACCCCAAATAAAATGCAAACATGGAAAGTGTTCTAAGGTATAAAGGCAGATTTATTAATAAAAAACAATTAGATAGGCGTGTTAAACAATTTTCTTTTTCAATTTAACACATTTTGTTTTTTATTACATTACATTTCGTATTTCAAATTATAAAATTACTTTAAACCATAGAATTGTTATTGCAAAAAATATATCTATTTATTAAATATAATTAATTTTTTTTCAATTAAATTAATAATTAATAATTATGATTATCATAATCATAGCATTAAATTTTTTTAAATTAATTATCAAGATAAAAATTAATTGAAATAGCTAACATTGATCATTTTAATATCCATTAAGATTTGTTATTTATTTTTTTGTAATCGATTGTTAATAACTAAATTTATAAATTTTTGTAAAAAAATAAACCATTTTTTAACATTTTTTAAAATTTAATATATTAAGTTAAAATTGTTTTTTTTTCATAAAAACGTTTAAAATAAAAGTTTGTATTTTATTGTATTTTTGAATTCTCGCGGGTAAAGTCAACGCGTTGATCACATTACAGTGTTGCCGTCGTTTCAATGCCCCTGTCCGAAATACTGCTTGAATGCATGATTTCTAATTGATTTTTATTAATTATCTTTAAAACTATGCGGTGAAAATACAATATTATTAAATGTTTACAATCAGAAATGTTTCCGCTATTCAATTCAAAGTTTTTTTAAACAGTGTAACCTTTTTTTATGCACTTTTATTGATATTTTGTCTCACCTTAGAACACTATCCCATAAGAGCCTATGTATAAAATGTGAACTTTGACTTCAATTTTCTCAAAAAGTATACGGTAAATCATTTTCATACTTGGTGGAAAATTGAATGGCATCCCAGACATTAGGAAAAAAAAAATCGGACAAGTGCGAGTTACACTCGCACTGAAATCGAGGGTTCCGTACTCGAAGCGAACTTATTTGGTATAAAAACAAATGTTTAAAAAATACGTGTTGTATGACAACTAATATAAGTGATACAAAAAGGAACAATTTTGTAAAATTCAAGAAAATTGTTCCTCTTCGTATCACTTATATTAGTTGTCATACAACACATATTTTTTAAACATTTGTTTTTATACCAAATAAGTTCGCTTCGAGTACGGAACCCTCGATTTCAGTGCGAGTGTAACTCGCACTTGTCCGATTTTATTTTTTAAAAAATATTTTACTAAAAAAATATAAGAAACATAATTTTATTTCAACTCGCAATATTTTTATTGTATTTACATTTTAAAAATATATTGAATATTAAATTTTATCTTTCTAAGTCAAAAAGAGATAAAACTTAAGATATTGATATAAGGCTAGTAGCTGCTTGTCAAGGAAAAATCGAAAGTTATCTAAAAAATAAAATTTGTTTATTAATTCCAGAAAAATCAACTCCAATCATCCTCGCTATATTTTTTTTGTAATCTACACGTAAAAATACGTCAAAATATATAAAATTTGAATCACTGTAGAAAAACTTTTTTCGTTTTTTGCGGAAAAATACATTTTTTTCTGAAATTTATCATTTTTCTTCAAAAATTTGATAAAAATTGATCATCAACTCCAATCGCGCTTACATTTTTTCCCTGTATTTTTCACGCAAAAATTGAGTTTTACAGCAAGTATGAACAGTCTGGATTGAATATTGTGTGCGCTAGGGAGAATAAATCATTTTTTTCGAAATTTTTGATTTTTCCTTGACAACGCTATGTAAATTAATCCGAATCAAGTTCGCTATAATTTTCCTGTAATTTTCACGTAAAAATACGTAAGTGTGTCAAATTTGAGCTCTTTATGTCAAAAGATGTGGCCGCTAGGGGGGGGGTACATACTCATTTTTAGGTATTTTTCGTAAAAATTCATGGTTTTTCCTTGACAACGCTATGATAATCAACTCCAATCATGCTCGCTATATTTTTTTTGTAATCTACACGTAAAAATACGTTAAAATATATAAATTTAATTTGCTTTAAATAAAATTTTGTTCGTTTTTGGTGGAAAAATACATTTTTTTCCTAAAATTGTCATTTTTTCTTGAAAAACTTGATAAAAAGTTAATCATCAACTCTAATCGTGACCGCTTTTTTTCCCCTGTATTTTTCCCGTAAAAATACATTTGTATACTAAATATGATCTGTCTGGGTTGAATATTGTGTGCGCTAGGGAGAATAAATTATTTTTTTCGAAATTTTTGATTTTTCCTTGACAACGCTATGTAAATTGATCCGAATCAAGTTCGCTATAATTTTCCTGTAATTTTCACGTAAAAATACGTAAGTGTGTCAAATTTGAGCTCTTTATGTCAAAAGATGTGGCCGCTAGGGGGGGGGTACATAGTCATTTTTAGGCATTTTTCGTAAAAATTCATGGTTTTTCCTTGACAACGCTATGTTAATCAATTCCAATCAAGTTCGCTATAATTTTCCTGTAATCTACACGCGAAAATACATATGTATACTAATTTTCAGCCCTCCAGATAAATTTATGTGGCCGCTAGGGGGGGGGGGTACACGATTTCAAAAAAACCGATATTAATAGGGTTCCGAACCGAGTACGGAACCCTAAAAATATTTCAAAATTTTTTAACCTTTTTCAAAATACCCCCGAACCTCCTTAATAAAGTTTGTTACATATTTTCTTTCAGTGTAAAATATTACAACCGGTGAAATTTCAACTCATCCAAATTGATGTTGTTAAAGGGGTATCAAGTTTTTTACTGTTATTATTTGGGATCTAAAATTATTGTGAATTATAAAAATGAAAAACAAATTTTTTTTTACCATTTTAGAAATTTTATTTTTTGAAAATATTAAAATTTTTAAAAATCCATACGATTGATTTTTCAGAAGAATGAAAAAAGACTATAAAAAAATTGCCGATTAAAAATTAAATTGTGGAAGAAGATGAATTTTTAAGAAATAATATTGATAAAATTTAAGCCAAACATAATTGGTTTTGTTTAGGGGTAACAATTTTTGAAAAATTTTTTTAGAACTTTAAATCATATTTCTCAGTGAAAAATGAAAAAAAAGTAATTTTTAACAATTTTTTTATTTGTCAAAAATTTCATTTTTTTTTAAATGAATTTTTTCAAAATCCATACGATTGATTGTTCAGAATCATAAAAAAAAGTATATAAAAAAATCTGCAATGAAAAATAATAAAAATTGCGACAGAAGTTAAAATTTTTAGTTTTTGATAATTTTCGAGTTTTATTTGAAAAATTACACTGGTATACAAAAAAAATTGATGTTCTGAGCTTTTGATCAGACCATGACTACTTTATGTTTTCGAGGTCGCTGATTACGAATTCGGTGTTAGTTTTTTAAAATTCAAAATGGCGGATCCAGTATGTTTCAAGCAAATCTGTATGATTTTTGAAATCTTCATTTTTCTCGACATTCGTGGTCACCTGTACCAAAAAAGGGCATCTTTTAGAAGACGCCACCTACAGCTAAGAAATTGAACTAAATACACTTAAAAATATTTTTTTAAATTTTCTCTATGTAATGTGCAATAATGTCCAAAAAGAATTTTTGCAATTTATTTCATACTTTTCTTACAACAAAAGTTTTAAAACGTGTACTTTTTTGTCAATTCTAAACCAGAAAGTCCCCTTAAACGGACTTCATATTCGGTTTCAGCAACCCCGAAAACATAAAGTAGTTATGGTCTGATCAAAAGCTCAGAACGTCAATTTTTTTTTGTTTGACAATGTTATTAATGAATTAATTGTTTTTCAATTTCTCATAATATATTACAGTTTTAAATACATAATATTGTCAGAAAAAAAATTGACAACCTTAAACAGCCTTAATGTCGAAAGGTTGAAATTTTAGCCATCCCTCACCTTAAATAGATATCATTAATACTATGTAAATAATAATAAGATATAATTAATTTTAATTGAATTTATATAAAAACTTACAAAGTTTTTGTAACGTTTAAAGCTGATGGAAGATACACTTTATTATGATTACAAATAGTAATTGCAGGAAATTCAATATCCCAAATTGGATAAGCCGTGGTTTCAATTGTTGTTGTTGTTGGTGTTTTTGAATAATGATACATAATAATGAACATCATACCAAATGCAATCAACAAAAATATTGTGCAAATCTTAAAAAATAAATTTATACATTATAAATAATAGTTTTACAACAATAAAATTTTTATAATTTATTTATTCTAAATTTATATAAATTCACTGTCAATTAAATTACTGTATCATTAAATGATAATAAATCTATTGTCCTTGACGGTATATAGAAATATTATCCCTTATCGTATGATTGTCAATTTCATTTAATTAATATAAAAAGAGGGAGTGTTCATGGCAATACTTTATATATCAGTAAAAATTATTAATTTTTTTCATTTATAACTAAATAAATAGAAATTATTTTTTAATTATTATATATAAAAAATATTTGAAAAACAAATATAATTTATTATTCAAAATTAAATACATACCAAAGACCAAATAATTCTTTCGACAACACTTGTATTTGGAGAAGTAATATAATGAAAACCATGAAGACTAGTATGTTCACAAAAATTTTGAAAATTTGGTCCTAAAATTTTTTTACCACTACATTTTCTTTTTCGACTTGAAAGTCTAATTATATCTCCTAAAGTGTAAAGAAAATTATAATTTCTTTTATTATTCACATATAATAATTTTAAATTATAATTTAAGTAGAAATTAATTAATAGTAATAATAATAATATATTAAACATAAATAAATTGAAGAATATAAAATATGTGTTTGTCAATAAAATTAAATCTTTTCAAACAATATGCTAAAGTTAAAAAAATAAATAAAATTAAATAAAGAAAAAAATTGAATAAATTAAATATGCTAAAGGTTCCTGAGATTTGCTTAAATATAAAAAAAATAAAAATTAAAAATATTGAAAAAGAATGTTTTTTAAATTACTCACCAGTTTGACTGGAATTATTTTTCACTGTTTTCTGATTTTGTAAATTTTTCATTTTTTTTTTTTGCACTATTTGTGATAATTATAAAATTGACAATGTCAACTGTTCATTAAAAAAGAAGAACATTATTCAAGCGCGTGAAAGTAACTGACAATGAAAGCATAATATTCATATTAAAGATCCTGCGCCCATTTGTGTTTTTATTGGTGTAATTTACGGAACCCTATATACATTGTATCACCTGTATTATCTATTGTGATGAAAAGAAAATATATAGAAACTACGTTGTTATAAATTCAAGTTCATATGCGCATGCATTTACGATTCTCCAGGGAGATTAAATAGTTCTTTAAACTGTTAATTAATTAGTAAAAAATATTTTTACACCACACCAGATGAAGGTTTCTTTTTTTTTATTAAAAAAATTATAAACGATTTTTTTTTATTAACGATACTAAAGTTCACAACGTTTATGACAAATGCTTTTTAAAGAAATATTTTTTTCATAATATGAAAAATTCTATAGTAAAAAAAAAATTATTTGATTCGAAGAATCGGTTTCTAGAACTATTATCAAATAATTTTTATTTGAGTCAATTAAATGGTTTTTGTTTCAAATACAGTTTATTTAAGGCAAATAAAAATTATTTGGTTCAAATAAATATTTATTTATTAATAGTCTCAAAAATATTACTTACAAAATTTTTATTGATTAACAAATTATAAAAAACATTGTTTTTAGATAAATTTTTTTTTTATAATTTTCCATCTAATAAAAAAATTGTTTTATTTATTTAAAATAATATAAAAAAAAATTGAATAAATTAGTTCTAAACTCATATTAATTATGCAGCATTATTTAACTTTATCTAATCGAAAGTTTAATCCAACATTTTGTCAATATGTAAGAACATCCCCTTTCTTAACATAGTGATGATAAAATGAAATGATATTGTAATTTTTTCGCATCGATTACATTTTTAATTTACTGTCATATAGTTGTAGTTATTTAGATAATATTATTCCCCATCAGATCCCTTAATTTTTAATAATTAAATTGTTTATAAAATTAATTAATAATTACTATCAGTTATTATTAATTTTAACATTGCAATAGCAATATATAATAATATTATAAATAAATATTGATATTTGCAATTAGGAATTTTTTTTTGCTTAATATAATTTCATTAACTTAATGCTCTTAAAAGTCTATCAATCATAAGAACTAAATGTTTACTAGAATTTATATTGTGTGTCAAATTTCTAAGAAAAAAAAATGTGAGTAAATTATATATATATATAGCATAATATGTTTTATAAAATATATATGACAAAAAAATTAATATTTGTTCTTCTAATCGATTTAGATTTATTTTCTCCATTTTGTACTTATTACAAAGTTTTACAATTTTTTTCCGCAAACTTAAAAAACTAATTAATTAATTTTTTTTTCTAATTGATCAACTTTATTAAAATTAACTAAACAATATAAATATAGAGAGTTCTTTTAATGAAACTAAGAAAAAATTACTCAGAATTAGTTTAAATAATTAATAACAATAACTAATCATTACTTGTGTAATTTTAATAATATTTATATCTGAGAATGAAAGCAAAATAAAAATTAATAATTTTATATGTTCAGTATTAAAAAAATAATAATTAAAATAATTAAAAAAAAAACGAAATAAAAAACTATTTGTGATATTAATTAGTATCTTAATAAACTTCTCCATTGTTGTATTATTAATAAATAACCAATTTGTTCAAATTAGAGACGATAAAACTTTTATCTTCCAATTTAGGCATTTTTTTAAGTAATTGAAACAAATTAATAAATTAACAGATACATATATAGACATTTCTGATCCAAGTAGAAAAATGTAATTATAGTCAGACATAAGAAAAAATATATATATAAGTATGTATTTCTTTTCTTTTGAATTCAATAATTTTAATTCATTATATAAATGTTTATCTAATTAAATAAATTTCTATAGAAATATTTTACATTATTCAGTTAATAACAAGTGTATAATTTAGACACAAAAAAATAATTATTAATATAGAGCACTATATATATATGTTATTTAGCAAGTCACTGTATTTTATTATATTTCCTTTTCAAAAGGAATAATTTTTAAGTTAATGATTCCTCGAATATCTAAAATAATGACACGATCTAATCAAACAAAAATAATAAAACACTATTGATTAATTATTCTTTGTTGAAAAAAATAACAATATTAAAAATCAATAGAAACACAAGGACTTTTTTTAACAATCTATGTTATGTTAAAATTGTTCATTTAAATTGTAAATTAATATTAATATTTCAAGTTTTTTTAAACAATAATTTTCAAAATATTTTATAACGCAAAGATTATTGTTGAGTGTTTTGTAAAATCGAAAATAACAATCACCGCACGAACCTTATTTGAACTCTTGACGTAATTTTAATTAATAATTTTACATCACCAAAAAAAAGAGATAAATGACCTGTGAGGAATTTATAATAATTGTTAGAAAATTTTAAACAATTAAAAAATAAGTTTGCGCTTGCGCTTTGTACTAAATCGTAAATTCGGCAGAAGAATAGCTCTATAGCAAATTCAGATAATCCGCAAACTGTTCAGACGTCGAACAATCGTTTACTGAAGAGGATAAAACTTTTTAAACAGATTAAGAAAAAGAATTTTCACGTAAGTCTACACTTTTTTTGTTTTAAAAAAAATAATAATAATAAATTGTACATGAAATATCAAATTTTTGTATTGTGGCAAAGTTTGCAATATGATCAAAAAAATTTTTTGATAGGCAAACAAATTACTATATCATGTTTTATCAAAAAAATTATGTTTCAAACTTTGTTGTTCATTGAAAGTTGCAAAATATATTATATATAGAGAAAAATTTATAAAAAGTTTTCCTTTATATAATTTTTAACGTTGTGAACTTTGTCAAAATATTTACTTTATAAACAAGTTCAAAAATAATGAAAATCACAAAATTTGTCATTTAAACAAGCAACTTTATTTTTACCTCACCTACACAATTACAGGAAGAATCATTTTACATTTTTAGAGGAAAATTACTATTATAAAATATTATTAAATTATTATTAATATTATTATTAAATATTATTAAAGTATTATTAAATTATATTTCGTTAACAAACCATTTTCTCACTATTATCAAATAATGTAAAAAAAAAACTAAAAATAAATGAAATTTGAAGAAACAGATAAAAAAAATTTTGAAATTGTGATATTTTAAAAAATTATAAGAATATAACTTTTCAATATTGTAGACTCACTAGAAGAGTGTTTACAAACAATAAATTGAAATCACTGCGCAAAAATCTCACCTAAAATCCTTTTTAAAAAAAAATTTGTATGATGTATTTTACGCATTCTGAGAAAAGGTCGAAGGTGATCTCTTGTAATGCTACCGTCAAACATTACAAATTCTCATAAATCATATGAGTCTCAAAATTTCTTATTGTATTCTCCGAACGAATTTCAAACATATGTATTGATAAAAGATTATTTGATTTATTTTACTTTTATAATTCATTCGCAAAAAATTATTACACGCTATCAAAACTATTTTTTTTAATTTTAAAATTTCTATAATTGTTATTTTTGTAATAATAATAATAATAATTAAATTAATTTTTTCTTTTTTAGATATAAGTATGACACAAGAATATTTGGAATTTCAAGTGAAAGAACTATATAAATGTGTTCGGTTGTTCAAAGAAGGTTAGTGTTCTTTTTAGTTAAATAATTTAAACGAATTATATTATTCGTCCCTATAATTATATTATATAGATAAATAAATATTAATAATATTTTTAGTGACTCAAAGAATAGTTTTATGCAGGGAAATAATTAAGAATTTTTCTGATTTTAAAAACGTTTTGACATACATATTATATTATATAGAGTGATAAGATGATAAGACTTGATGAAATGTTATTTTAATTGGAATAAAATATGTAATCTAATGTGTTGTACAATTAATTAACTACGTCTTTATCAAGACTTGTCACATTAGTTTTGATAAAATTTAATCAATTTTTTTGTATTATGTCTAATCGGAAACTAAAAATTTCATACGAATAGATTTTCAAAGTTTTTAAATGACGGATACATTGACTTTAGAAATATTTATCGGATTTACTTGAAACTTGTTGCTCAATTTTTTAAGGTTACTAAATTTGTATTTAACATTCAAATTTCAAATTTCAAAATGGCGGGTCTAAAATGGCGACCAATTTTTGAAAATCTGACAATTTTTAATTAAATAAGTTAGAATTTTAATTTATAGAATTTTATTAAATTGAAAATTCTTTTAGCCAAATTTTAATTTTTTTAATAAATATAATTTGAAAGAAGTTTTTATGAATTATTTTATTTCATAAAATTCTTAAAACGCAAAATTTTAATTTATGACTGAAATTGTAAATGTCCAAATAAACAACCGACAGACGAATTTTGCGCGAGTTTCAAAATTGTCCAATCACAATTTTCTTGATAATATATCTGATTGGTAAATTTTAAAATTCGCGCGAAATCTTTCTGTCAATATTTGTTTGATCGGCCATTTACAATTTTGGTCAAATGAAAATTCTGCATTTTAAGAATTCTATCAAATAATAATTTGGCAAAAAAAAAAATTCATTGAAATAAAGATTCGGCGAATCCAAAACTCGCTGAATAACGACTATAGAGTTTCATGTAAATACGATTTATTTTGAAAAAATCAAATTTTCCAAATATAATACGTCAAATTAGATTAACTCACAATCAGATTGAATTTAGATTGGTCAATTTTTTTTTCATTTGGTCTATTTACTTAAAATTATATGTTTTATTTAAACAATGATAAAATTTTTCAATTTCAGACATGAATCTAACAAAAAATGAAACAAGTGCCTCTTGCCCGCCAATTTTCGACTCAATATTGTGTTGGCCTAGAACAGAAGTTTCACAAATCGCTAAATTACCATGTCCTTCATATTTTTTTACAAAACCAAATCCAAAACCTGCATTGGCATTTAGAGAATGTTTAACAAATGGTAAATGGTTTCAAAATATAGACGGTGCATCATGGGGCAATTATTCTCTTTGTATGTTATCTGGTGGACAATTTATAACCACATTAACTGAATTAAACTTTAAGCAAACAGAATACGAGGAAGAAATTCTCAATTCCACCTTATCGCTTGTAAGAAAAATCTTTAATTATATATTATCGGTACGGCTGACGTGCGAGGAGTGGAAGTTCGATGCTGACTTTAAAGCAAGATATTTTAAGTTAGAAAAAAGAAAGAGACTTCTATAACTTAGATGGTTGGAAAGCTGATAAAATTTTGCTTCTGAATGTATATCAAGAAAATATTTTTCTTTTTTTTTGTATTTATAAAACCGAAAGAATTTCAAGAAACAATTATGCAATTTTTCTACTTTCGTACTAATGTATTTGACTCCCGGCATAATCTAGAATAATGTATGGAAAATTTTGACAATTTTTCAACATAATCTTTAAGATCTTATCTTTAATTTGCATTTTTGAAACTTAAAAAATGTTTTGTGGTTCCTGAAATATGTTAAAAAATGTTCGAGCATGTTTTTCTACAACTCAGCCGTCGATCATCACTTTTTGCTGCCTCGCTGCTGGGTTGCAGAGAAACATGCTCGAACATTTTTTAACATATTTTAGGAACTACAAAATATTTTTTAAGTTTCAAAAATGCAAATTAAAGATGAGATCTTAAAGATTAAGTTGAAAAATTGTCAAAATTTTCCATACATTATTCTAGATTATGCTGGGAGTCAAATACATTAGTACGAAAGTAGGAAAATTGCATAATTGTTTCTTGAAATTGTTTCGGTGTAATAAATACAAAAAAAAAAAGAAAAAAATTTTCTTGATATACATTCAGAAGCAGAATTTTATCAGCTTCCCAACCATCTAAGATAGAAGTCTCTAACTTTTTTCTAACTTAAAATATCTTGCTTTAAAGTCAGCATCGAACTTCCACTCCTCGCACGTCAGCCGTACCGACAATTTCCGACGGTAGTGTATATATGGGGCGAAATTCCTAAAGTGTACCAATAGCCAAAATATGAAAATTGTATTTTTTGAAAAATCATAACTATTGTATAAAAGGGTGAAAAATTTTTTTTTAACCTATATTGACCTATATATATGGTTGAAATTTGTTTCACCCTTTTATACAATAGTTATGATTTTTCAAAAAATACGCACACGCTCGAATTTGCATCACAAGTTTTGGCCTCTGATGTTAAAATTTTTTAATTTTCAAATAGCAAATTCCTAAGATAAGAATCAACTGTTAAAATTTGATATTGAAAAATTGAAAAATTTTAACTTTATATAGGGACCAAAATTTGTGATGCAAATTCAAGCATATGCCCTTTTAAGATCCGGAGCCTCATTTTGACTATTGGTACACTTCAGTAATTTCGCCCCATATATTACACCGTCCGACACGATTTTTGACCCACAAAAAATCCAATATTTTCAAAAACTAGGACCAAAAAAAATACCCGTGTCTGGCCCTTTTGCTAGATCAAGTCGTTTGTGGTTTTTAGGGGTTAAAACAACCCCTAAATGAAAAGTGACCAGATATCTTTTAAAAATTATTAATATTTTATAAAACTTGGTATCTGGGGGTTTTCGGGGCCGTTGATTATTAATATGATGTCAGATTTTCAAAATTCAATATGGCGGATTCAATATGGCGATCAATTTTTAAAAAGTTACTGATTTTTTATTTTATAACCGCCATTTTGAATTTTGACAATTTGACATCAGATTCGACATCAGCGATCTCAAAAACCCCCAGATACCAAGTTTTATAAAAAATTAGTAACTTTTTACAATTTTGACCGCCATTTTGAATTTTGAAAATCTGACATCAGATTCATAATCAGCGACCCCGAAAACCCCCAGATACCAAGTTTTATAACGTATTAATAATTTTTCAAAGATATATCGTCATTTTTTTCATTTAGTGGTTGTTTTCACCCCTAAAAACCACAAACGACTTGATCTAGCAAAACGGCCAGACACGGGTATTTTTTTCTAACATCCAACATTTTCAGAAACTACAGTTTCCGAAAATGTTAAATTTTTTGTGGGTCAAAAAAAAAGTTGAATTTAGTCGGACGGTGTTATATATGTATGTATAGTTATCTTTTATTTTATTATATTTTTATACATCTGCAATTTTTTAATTACATTTTTTTAGACATGGTTGCCAAGAATTAAAGCAGTTTCACAAATTGGATATGCAACTTCCTGTCTAACTTTAATTATTGCTTTTATCATTTTTTACTTACACAAGTGAGTTAAAATTATAAAAATTAGTTTGTGCACCTTAATTTACATGTGTAACGCTCCATAAGAAAAGGGACCTAGGAGGCAAAAAATTATAGGTTGTGTTTTTTTTCAATTGGAAATAAATAAAGAGAATCACTGATGATTATTATGTCTTTATGAGATCAAAAATATTCAATAAAAATAGATTTTGATTTTACACAATTAAAAATTAACGTTTATAATAAAGCTGAAACTATCACTAAACATAATCTAAAATGTTTTGCTTCTAAGGTCCCTTTTCTTGTGGAGCATCACATATATATACAACAGTAAATGTATATTTATTTTGAACTAATGTATTTTTACGTAGAAAATTACAGAATACACGGAACAGATTGCATATGCACTTATTTGCATCATTTATTCTGAGGGCATTCATGGCTCTTTTGAAGAATTGGCTTTTTGTTGAAGGAACAGGACTCCCTGAGGATATTTTTTTAAATGATGGACAGAAAGTGTTCATTGTTCAAAGCAATGTTGTTATTACTATTATAATAATTAATAAATAATTAATATAGTTATAATAATTTTAATTTAATAATTAAAAGATGTTTTTTAATTTTTTTGTCAATTGTGCCCAACAATTAATAAACATTATTATTATTATTATTATTATTATTAATTATATGAATGGACTAATTATTATGAACTTTTTAATAAAACAAATTTTAATTTCAGCCATCGTTTTGCAAGACAATTACAAGCATTTGGCAATATTGCATTTTGGCAAATAACACGTGGATATTAATGGAAGGATTATTTTTACATAGATTGATATTTTCGACACTCTCTGCAGATAAAAACACAATCACACTTTATGTTGTAATAGGCTGGGGTAAGTGAACTAATATTATGATTAAATTTTTAAGTAAAAAATTTTCACGAAATGTAATTAAGACAAATAATTTTGATTTGAATTCAGATTATTTATAGGAAAAAATAATTTAAATTGTATTTTATTTTAAAGAACTTATAAAATGTAATTGATCATTATATTTTATAAACTTCTCCACAAAATATCAAATCAACGCTGAAAAATATTATTTATTTGATTCAAATAATCTGTTACTTAATTATTATTATCGAATAAATATTTACTTGAACCAAAGAATATTTTTATTTGAATTAAATAAATTGCATAATTGAAACAATAATTTCTGTACTTGAAACAAATACCATTTAATTGACTCTAATAAAAATTATTTGGGTTCAAGTATAAATATTTATTTGCTAATAATAGTCGCAAGTAACCGATTATTTGAATGAAGTATATTTTTTTTCATTGAATTTACTAAAAATTATAAATATTAAGTTCGCGAGAAAATTTAAATTTAAATTGGGTCATTCCATTATAATTCACCTAAAGTTGTTGCTGTCTATTTTTAGAAAAATCTGATATTTCCAATACATCTTTCAAGAAAATTTATAAATATTATAAAATTTATTACTACCCAATAGTAAGTACTTTCATATGATATTCTGATTTTTTAATTTTATAATGTATAGAAATATGAGAAATTTTATCTTGAATGTTGAACTTTTCAGGAGTTTATGTGATTTTGAACACTTTATATCTTCGCAGACGATTAATGAAAAAGTCCTATTTTGGTCTTAAAATTTACGTTAAATATTCTTTATCCATCTTATCAAAATTTGATGATGGAAAACGATCTACTTTTTATTTTTATTCACTTTAAAAAATCCACTTACTTTCTATTCTTTTTTATTAAATTTTCACAGCTGTCAAACTAATCTGTTTTCGTGCAACTCAACTTAAAAACTAAATTCTAACATAAAAAAAAAATTTCATAAAATAATTTTTAAAAATAAATTGTACGGATATTAAAAGTAATTATTACGAAATATCAGATTCTTCTAAAAATAGGCCTCAACGACTTCAGGTGAAATATAATGGAATGGCCTAATTACCTTCTTTTCTAGGGTTACCAGTAATGATTATTATTCCCTGGATAATTGCCCGAATAATATTTGAGGATGTTTTATGTTGGACAACTAATAATAATTCTCACTCTTTTCTCATTATAAGTATTCCCACTGAAATATTAATTTTAGTAAGTTTTAATTAGTTTATTTTATTTATATAAAATGAATTTTTTTAATTTATTATTTAAACAACTATAATATAATGAAAAAATTTAATTTCAGTTCAATTTTTTTCTCTTCCTGAGTATCGTACGAGTACTTTTTATTAAATTTAAAACATCCGTTATTCTTCAGAGAAAGAAAATGCAATATAGGTAATTTTTAAGATAATAGTTTTTTTTTAAATGTGACATAAAAAAATAATATTGAAATTTTAGAAAATGGGCTCGATCAACTTTAATATTAATTCCATTATTAGGAATACATCATAGCTTATTTATTGGATTGTCTTTTTGCAAGGATTATCGAGTGGAATTAATGTGGCTTTTCTTCGATCTACTTTTTGCATCTTTTCAAGTTATTATCGTTTATATTGTATTAAAATTAACAACATTTAAAATATTTATTAAATTAAATTTTATTAATTACAGGGCTGCTTTATAGCGATTCTTTACTGTTTTCTAAACAATGAAGTAAAAACAGAAGTTATTCGATCTTGGAAAGTTCGGAAGTCGAAAAAATTTGTAAAACCAGTGACAAAATAATATCAACAATTTTAAAAGTGAAACAACTATAAGAATGAAATACCTTCATGTAAAAGAAATTTGTGGGTGGAAATTGAAAATTTTTCCTTTCTATTTTTGCTTTCTTTTAATGAATAATATATATTAGCATATGTAACATTTTTTTTAAAAATTTAATTAAATCTATTTATAAAAAATTAATATCTTCAAAAATTTTACTATAAAATCATAAGACATATATGTACTTTTGTAAGACTGAAAAATAAATCTATCTATAATTTTTTACACTTCAACTCAAAAATGATAATTTATTTATTTAAAAATGGAAAAAATTTTATTGTATTATTTGTATTTTGAAATACATATAAATTTATATTTAATTTATCAACTGATGATAACAACAAGAATCTTGTATGGACCAATATTGATTATTCGTTTTTGAAGTTGTTCAATGCTGCCATCTATTTTGGTATTATTATATACCACCCTTACACATGGCAAAGCACTTATATTAAAAATAAAAAAACATACTTTTTTTCTCTTAGAACATTTTCTTAAATTGAATGTTATTTGATGATATAAGCAAAAAAAAACCCTGAAATTTGTTATTCTCAAATTTAAATATAAATTTTAAAGCATAATTAATTGTACCTTCGATAAATATTTGATAAATAAATAATATTTGTTTCAAATACAAAGATTATTGGTCCAAATAAAATTGATTTAATTCAAATAAAAATTATTTTTGGTTCAAGTAAATATTTATTTGAAGTAACCGATTATTTCATCCAGAGAAATGTTGTATTTAACCAAATAAAATATATTTGAGTTAAATAAACGTATATATTTATCTCAGAGCCAACGAATCCATTTATTTAGCAAAAATAAAAATTTTATTTGTCAGAAATAAAATTTTTATTTGAAACAAATAAAATTTATTTTGCTCTGAGACAAATATATCTTTTCTCTCGATGCAGGAAGTTTTCTACAAATTTTAAAAAATTTAACTTTTTAGAAATTATATACCTTTTCTTCATCGAATTTGTGATAAATTTTATATATAGTTATCATTTTTTTACGAACAAAGATCATTAAAATTTTGTAGAAATAATTTTTTTACAATATTTTTTTCTTTATATTTAATTTGTAAAAATGTTTTTCAAAAAAAAAGAATACGTTTGATTAAAACTGATATTATGATATATACATATAGTGTGAATAAAGGGTGATTGAAAAATTGATGATAGCTTGAGGGGTTGTTGATTTTAAAGTAATGAGGTGTGAACTGTCCCACGACATAACCACAATAACTATGTATCTATGTTCATCAGGTGAAAGCCCCATGTGTTAAGTTTGTTTTGCCCTTTGCCTCACAAAACATTACTATTGTCACGTGTCGACACGTGCGTAATATTCTATTTTCATCTGGAATTATTATAGACTTATATTTTAAAGTGCTGAGCGATTGCTATTATACTGCATGTTCTATATAGAAAAATTAATATGTCAACTCTTTATTTAGTTGTTTTATCGATAAAGAATTATAAAAAACTGACTCAATTTTTCAAGAAATCATTTCTATTCAATTACGCAGTTGGCATAAGTAAAACATCAACATAAAATAATAATAATAATAATAGTATTTTTTAAACAATCTATTAAAAATGTTAGCCAAGTAACCGATTTTTTTAATCAAATAATTTTTTTTCAGTGTAGGGTAAGTGTACCAATTACGGCGCGTTCATGAAAAATAACTACTATTACATTTAATAAAACTATTGCCAAATGATTAAAAAAAATTATTTCAATCTTCTTTTGATACAATTACTTATAAAGATGCAGATTTAAACAATTATTAATTTAATTATTTGAGATCAAATTTTTTTCCGCGCCGCAATTGAAACATTTTTAAGATTTCCATTGGCTCCAATTTTGGCGGGCAAAGTATCTTCAAAATACACGTAATTTTGGTCACCGTAATTGATACACCGAACAAACGCGCCGTAATAAAAAATTACGCTATTAATTTTAATTTCTCATATTTGTTTAAATAATCGATTTTTATAAAATTGAAATTTTTTTTTAATATCTAAATAACATAAGCTTTTAGTTTAATAAGCCTTAAATTGAGTTTATAAAATAGAAATGTCAAATTTTCTATATCAAAGGTGTTTTGACTCGAATCGTGCCGCAATTAGTGCATTTACCCTATTTAATAAATTTTACATATTTGTCTCTAATAAATTCAAATAAAAGATTTCTCTGGGTGTAATGAGTTTGTTTATAAATTAATTATTTTATTACTTAATTATTAATTCATTAATTGGGGTATTTGTAATTCAAAAATATGGGAGATCCATTGCAGGAGTTTCATGGCCTGCTACACGCAGAGAAATGATTTATTTGAACCAAATAAAATATATTTGAGTTAAATAAACGTATATTTGTCTCAGAGCCTACTAACTTATTTATTTGGCGTAAATAAAAGTTTTATTTGTCAGAACTAAATTTTTCTTTGGCTCAAATAAATTTTTTATTTCAATGAAATGAAATATATTTGCAACAAATAAATGAGTTAGTAGGCTCCGAGACAAATATACCATTTCTCTGAGTGTAAGGTAACGTTTACTACCATGTCAACGGTTGCTATGGTAACGATTGTTATGGAAACAGTTGTTATGAAAACGGTTGCTATGGAAACGATTGCTATATAGTAACGGTTGCTTTGGTAACTGTTACCATGGCAATCATACGAGTGTACGACGGACACTATAAGACTTTTGGGACTGAGCCATGAAAACCAAAAAACTTTATAAAAATAACAAAATTAACTAATTTTTTAATACAAATAAAAATACTGCAAAAAGATATATCTTTGTCACCTAAGGGAGAAATTTTTTGTTCACTACTTGATAATGGTTACATTTTTACATTTTTATGCGAGTGATTTTTTAAAAAATTATCGGTATTTAAATTAAATACCTGTCAGCTAAATTATAAATCTAACATAATAAAATTTAATAATAATTGTGAAAAAAACAGAAAAACTTTTTTCAACTTTTTGCTTCATTGTATTTAATTTTAATATTATGAAAAAAAAAATAAATATGTAATTGCAAGATTCATTCAACAAAAATTGTTTAGACAAATTCTTGCGCATTGAGCTTGAGTTTCTGATACAAGAATATAGATTTTCGAGAGGCTCAGGTGCTATCAAGACGCATCTGAGACTTCTTGATACAAAAATACATTCGTATTTCAAAGTTTCAGTAAAAGAATAATAAATGAAAATTTCTTTTCAATTTTCTGTTAAAATCATTAATATTACCTACACATTGAAATAATTTTTTTTTTGCATGTAATCAACAATTTCTAAAACAAAATTTGTAACAATTTTAAATTCTATAAATTTGTAAAGTTCTGAAAATTTTAAACATTGGTTTTTATACATTTTAGAAAAATAAATTTTCTTAAAAACCATATAATCTTTATATAAAAGAATGTAGGTATATAAAATAATTATGCACTGTATTTTTATATTTGATTGAAAATATACATTTATTTCTACAGAAACTACAAAATTTTCACCAAAATTAATAATTTATCAAATGTTTAATGTACTTTTTTTATTTTTCATTGCTATAGTAATTTTTAAAAAGTGTATAGACTAAAAAATTATTTTCCTTCATTTGAACGTTCAGAATTTTAAGCATATTGCTTTTGAAACAATATTTTTTTATACTTTTGGCAGAATAAATAAAAATAATAATAATTATTTATTTAAATTAAATAAAAATTATTTGATTCCAGCAAATATTTATTTTTTGATAACATAGTCAAGTAACTAATTATTTCAGTCAATAATTTATTTAGCAAAAATAAAATTTTTATTTAACTCAAATAAAATTTATTTGGGCTCAGAGACAAATATGTTTTTTTTCTAGATGTATAGTGATCAAGATGAACTTAAAATAAATAGTATAATTATACATTATTTTGCAATATTACATATTATATTATTAATAAAAAAATATTTTAGGAAAATAAAGTTACAAAATATTGTCAATACGAAAATGCACATGAATAATCCCGATGTAATGGCGACAAGGGTGGAAGGCGGGCTAAAAGTTGGTCCATGAAATACTATTGGATAATACAAGGGATGCTGCGAATCAAGGGCGTGGTTACTCAAGATAAAACCAACCCCTTGCAAGTTCTGTTTTAAAAAAGTAGTATCAGTTTTGATCAGATCTTTATCAGACACATTTTCTCGTACGAGATAAAAAAAAAATTTAATTACAAATTATTTCATTTAAAAATTGATATTCAATCAAAGTATATTTATATTCATCTTCAACAGTTGTTATGTTTTGTATTCAATAAAGTGGAAATTGTGATAATTTTCTCAAATTATGACGATTTTGATGATCAATTACTAAGCAATTATCAAAAGTGTTAATAATTTAATGAATTTTTTATTTCAACAATATGTGGACTATAAAATGATTTATAAAGTGTTAATATTGTACTCCGATTTAATAAATTAGCAAATATATTTCTCTTTTAAATTTTATGGAATTTTTCGGTAAGAACACTTACATTAATAATAATTTATTGCAATAGAATAATCAATTAGATTTTTATACATGTAATAAGTAAATAATTTATTTTATTCAAAAAATTATTTTTACATTCAGAGAAATAGCTCTTACACGGAGAAAAAAAGTTAGCCATATTAGCTAAAATTTAGCTATTTTAGCTAACCCTATTTGTTATTATATGGACAGCAATTTTCGTTAGCTAATACTGCTAAAAATTAGCTACTATAGCTAAAATAGTTTGCTGTAACAGCTAAATATTAGCTACTGTAGCTAAAAATTAGCTTTTCCATATAATAGCAAACTCATTTTTCTCCGTGTACTTGCGTTTTATTTGAATCAAATAAAAATATATTTGTCTCATAGACTAATAACTTTTTATTTGTTTTAAATAAAAAAAATGTAATTTAGTATCAATTAAATTTTCGTTTAAACCAAATAAAATTTATTTAAAACAAATAGATATTTATTTGGTTCCGAGACAACTATATCTTTTTATAACACAAATAATTATTTTTATTTTTCAATAATTATTTTACCGCAAACAATTATTTTTCATTTAAAAAATATTTCTCGAAAATAAAGTTTTTTTTTATTAAATTTTTACTAAATTTAAAGAATATTTCAATTATGGAATTATATATTAAATAACATCATAAGTGAGGAAAATTTGAAGAAAAAATAATAACCACCAAACAAAAGGGTTACTAATTCGATAATGAGTTCAGCAAATATTTAATCACAATACGTGCTTTCTCAGAGGAATACTTCCCTTCTGAAGACTTGGTTTTCCGAATGATTCCCAAAGGAGTGTTAAATTTTATTTCATCGATTCAAAAAAAAAAAAAAAAAAAATCCCAGAAATAACCTTTCACAGCCAATGTTGTTCTATAATTCAAATAATGCGATTACATTCTGGGTAACACGTATACTTGTCAACATTATTAATTATTAACTGACAAGACAGTCAAACAGTCCCTTCAGATTTTTTAAGTAAAATGAACATTTATATGGACCGCAGTCTTTTCGATTTAAATATTTTAAACAGACTTCCTCTCAGTCTATACACAGTATTCTCAGTTTTACGAGAACACGATCGCATGAAAAATCGATTTTGTTACCCTGAGTTTGGTGCATTTTTAAAATGAAAAAAATAAAATAAAGTAATGTTTCCATATATATAACTTCAATTATTTTCATTTAAAAATTTCTAGAATTCAAAGAAATTTAGAAAATTAATAAAATTTAATTGCTAAGAATAATTATTAATTAATTGTTCTTCTTTTCATGTTAGTAAAATAAAATAAAATAATGGAAAGAGAGGTTCTACTTCCATTGTCCGCTTGTTGCAATTTAGGCCACCAATCTCGTCGGAGGTTTGTAATTTTAATATATATAGTAATTTACAAAACCCTCATTAAATATATTTTTTATTTAAATTAACTCTTGCTTTATGCGCAGAGACAGAGAAAATTCCATTGGAAATGGTCATAATTCGGTGAATGGTATCAGCAACAATTCAGGAAATTTATCGCGAGAAGAAAGAAGACGTCGTCGGAGAGCTACTCAAAAATATAGAACAGCACACGCAACAAGGTAAATAAAATAATAAATTAATTGATAATTTTTTATCACCTTAATAAAATTTGTTTGTCATATTATAAAAAGAATTTTACAAACAATTTACTTATTTTTTAAACAAAATTTGTAACAATTTTAAATGAAGCGCATAATTATCTCACAAAATTTATTAATTACAATTTTCATTTTAAACAATTTTATTAGACATTGTTAATTTTTTAGACAAATTTTCATTCTTTGACTTTGCAATTGATAGAATTTTTTTTTTTAAACAAATTTTTATTTGACAGAATTTGTATTTTACTGAATATTTTTTCACCGAACTTTTTATTTAAAACAATTCTAATTTAGCCGAATTTTATAATGTTGCAGAATTCTTATTCAACAGAATTTTATGTAATTCGAATTTTTAAATGACAGGAATTTTAAATTCATCGCATTTTTATTTGTTAGAAATTGCAAATTTTTTTAAATTGAATAATAATAATAATAAAAATAAATTATACAATTTTTTGAATGAAAAGTCAAATGACTTCTGTGGAATAATCATGTTTACTTTCAAATTCTGAAAATTTATAAAGTTATAAAAGTTTGAAAATTTAAAAAACATTGTCAAAAATAAAAAAATATATAATTTTTTGATTAATTTACATAAAAATAGGGAACGAGTAAGAGTAGAGGCCTTTAATCTTGCGTTTGCTGAACTCCGGAAACTATTACCGACTTTGCCGCCGGATAAAAAGCTTTCAAAAATTGAAATACTTCGATTAGCAATTTGCTACATTGCATATCTGAATCATGTTCTAGAGGCATGATTGAACAAATGAAGACTATATATCAAATCATTTTTATAATAAATGTCAATAATACAAAAATTATTTTTTAAAAATCATAACTTGAAAAATGAAATGTATTTAAAAATTTATCATAAAAAATTTCAAAATTTCATGTAGTTTAGAAAAATTTATAAAGTGCAATATTATAAATAATCCAACATTATACGTATAGTAAAACTAACAAAAAAAAATGTCATTTAAATTATATAATTTGTATTTAATTTTGTAAATAAATAAAAATTTTCAATTCAAACTCATTACAAAGATGATTTATAATTTTTTTTTTTTTTTTTTTTTTTTTAATGAAAACTTCGAAAAATGGTTTAAAATTCGAAATTTTCTTTATTTTTCCAGCTTTCATATTCAAAAAGAAAATTCGAGTGTTTAGTATTAACGTTGTCAAAATTTACATTTTTTTCAATTTTTGTTATTTTAAATAATTTTAATCAGTTGTTATAGCGGAACCACAAAGCGGAACGCGGCGTTTTTTTTTTATTTTCTAGTCAATGATACCAACATGATGCGTGATTTAAATATGATAAACATAACCTCACTTTTCAGAATTATGTTCGTATCACTGACTAGAAAATAAGAAACGTCGCAGGCAGTCAAAACAGCCGATTAAAATAATTGAAAATAACGAAAAACAATGCCTAAATTTTTGAACAAGTTAACATCAATAACCCAAATTTTTGTTTCGGATATGAAATCTGGAAAAATATGGAAAATTTTGAACTTTAAGCAATTTCATTTCGTGTAATCGTTCAAAAGTGGCTTTTCTTTTCAATGTTTATTGTTGTATCTTTTAAATACATAAATAAGCTGAATAAATATCATTCTACTAAGTAAAATTTATAAATTGGTGAGGTTACTCCGGAAAGTGCTTAAAAAAACGTTTGGAGTGGCATATATTCCTAATAAACATTTTTCCTAAAAATATTTTCCAAATTACTTTCTTCTAATTTAATTTTCCTAATTATTTTTTCCTAAAGAACATTTTTTTCTAATGATATATAATTTGGCCAAATACATAGTGAATTTATTCTATCATTCTATTACATATTGATTTGCAATTATTTTATGAGCCAAAAGTTCTGAACGTTCATATGAACGAAATATTTTTTTCAATCTATAAATTATTAAAAATTATGATGTCAATGTAAAATAAAACAGTAAATTAAACAATTATTAAAATAATAATTTCTTTTTAGATATTTAAAACAAAATTTTATAATAAAATTCGTATTTAAAGAAGTTGCAAAAAAAAAATTTCGTTCATTTGAACGTTCAAAACTTTTGGCTCATATTATTTTTCATTCCACGAAATTTTTATTTATGTAAAATTTATTTTTAACCCCGTATTATTCAAAATTTTAAATATACCAAATTAAAGAAAAAAAATTATATATAAAACATGGATTCTTTCCAAAAATTTTAGGACGACAACAGCTTCTAGATGGTTTCATATTTATTACAGAATTTTCAACTTTGAATTTCAAAAAGTTTCTGATAAAATAGATAAAATCATTTGAAAATTAGGAAAAATTAATAGACTTAGGAATTTATTTTTAAGAAGATTGTATTAGAAATGTATATTTTCAGAAATATTTATTTAGAAAATTTAAAAATTAGGAAAATCGATAGGGAACTGAGAAAAATATTCTCGCATTGATCACACCCCATTTATATAAACATTACATTTTATGATGAAAATATTTTGGTGATACTAATCAGGTAAAGTGGGAAAAAATGATCCATTTTCGTTAATAATTAATATCTGAAGAAGTCCTGCGATCTGTTTATCGCATATGCTACAAGAACCTCTTAAACCATTTGGACACGTGTTAGAATCCTGCATTAACAGGGTGCGGTCCTTCGGGATCACTCACTTGGGACTAAGTGAAAAAGAATAGGATTACTGGAAGCCAACTTCACGGATCGACGCCCCATACAATCAATTCCCCGGAGAAAATGGCCTTCATTCACGTGATCACTATTCCCTATCTAATTACTACAAAATCGGCTCTTATATAATTTCAACTTGAGAACAAGACATATTCTACTATATTTCAGAATCTCCTTCACATGACTTCGTTTATAAAAGAATTTCACGATACTTCATTCATTAGAGAAGAAATTCTTTTCAAAACCGTACAAGGCCTTTTCATTATATAATTAATTATAAATTATTAAAAACATGATAGATAATATTTTTGTTTGCAGATTTGTAATCAGTGTGAAAGAAATGTACATCAAAAGTAATGAAAAAAATCATTTGCAGGGCAAAGTTATATAGTGTTGGTCAGTGTAATCAATGTGGTAAATTCAAATAGGGAACATTTTCACTATATATTTTTTATACTTTAAAATTAGTATAACTAGAGGGAAAAAAGTAAAAAAAAAATTTAAACAATCAGTTGTATATCACTTTCAAAATTGTAGATGTCATATTTCTATTTATTTTGCTAATCCTCAACTGTGACAACATGATCTTTATGTATGGTATATTTGTGAGGGGTGCCATACTTACTATAATCCTGCATGTTCTATCATAAATCTGCACTGCATCCCTTAAGTGGTATTTACATATCAATAAATGTGTTTTACCAAATAAAATCCCCCTAACTATCCCCTTGACGAATAAACCATGCAAATTATTTCAATTTTTAAAGGTTTGTCATGTACACCTAGAAGAAACAAAATTTTACTCACCATTTCTGCAGGAATGATTTCTTCACATTGAGATATTAGATTTTATAACCTATAAAACAAAAGAATCAATTTTTTAAATAACTTATTTCCTACATTTAATAAAAAATGTTGACTAAGAATTCACGAACTTTTTTTTTATTCATTTACAAAAATTTTTATCATTAAGGGGTGGTTTTTGACATTAAGAGCTGTTTTCAAGTGGCGTTGTTGATTATCATTTCCAATTTTAAAACAACTAGAAAATATTTAGAAATAATTATAAAGAGTATGCAGAAGCTGTAAAATGTTTAATTAATCCGTACAGAAATTATGGTCTGGGCCTCTCAAGGCCCTTCTCAGTACGCCCGGATTCTGGCAAGGTCCTGACATGGCAAACTGGCAAGGCCCTAGTAATGGCTTGAGACTGTTTTGCATCCCAAAGTCGACCCAACTTCAAAAATGTAGTAACACCAACACTAAACAAAAAAATTAAATATAGAATTAATTATTTACCCCTACCTATTATTATTTAACGCAATCGTTTACATAAATTTTGATAATATTTAACGCTCGCTGGGATCGAACCCCCTAATCTAACACGCTAACCATTACGCCAACTTAACGTGAGAAAATAAATACACAATTGATTTGATAAGTTGCGACTGAGGAAACTGAAGACTTGAGCAGCAGAACAATAAAGAAACAATAATTATATATAAATTATAATTTATTTTTAATGTTAAATAATTTATTTAACATAAGTCAATATTTTCATTTTTTTATTTTATTAAAACTTAGGAACATAATTTTTCTTATTATCTTAAATATTGATAATATAGTAAAAAAAAGAAAAATAAATTTTAGTTTTTGTAAAGAAAAAATCACTTATTTCTTTTGAGTTGTTGATAAAATTCTTTGGTTAAAATTGGTTTTTTTAAATTAATTTAATTAATTTTTTAAAAAATTAATAATTTTAATAAATAAATTATTTTAATTAATTAAATGTTATTTAAATAATTCAAAATTCATAAATATTATTATTAAATAATTATTACTTGATAAAATATTTTGCATGGAAATTTAATTTTATTATAGTTTTATTTGGAGATAAAAATTACTTTTTATTTTGAGGTTATGTCATAAAACCATAGTAAGACCGAGTTGCTCTAAGGAATGCCATACTTGTGGACAAACTGGCAAGGGCCTTTCCACTGCCTTGATATGTAGTTTTCTAGGTTATATTGCAAACATGGCATAAACAAGTAACTGTGGTAACTTGTGGAAAAACTGTCAAGGGCCATGAGAGAGCCTTACTTAAAGTAGAACTAAGTAGGGAAATTTCTGCACGGGAGTAAACGTTAGGGGTGGTTTTAAGGAGTGAAACGTGTTAAAAATTTTTTTTTATTCATATTGAATACTGAAATAATTAAATATAATATACATCATGTCTCTAAAATAAAGACAAAAAAACTCGGCCATTAAAGGGTTAAAATACACTCAGCATTAAAAATATGGAAGAGATCTGTAAAGATAGAAAATAATTAAAAAATTAAGTAAAATTAATTTTAATTATAGTTTTATTTTTGGTACATAATAATAATAATAATAATAATAATAATAAAATAATAATAATAAAGTTCCGCGAAAAATTTTTATTGATTTTGAATTAGAAATATGTAGATAAATTTTTTCTTTTATAGTTAATTTTATATTAAAAAATAAAATTATCATTAATTATTTTAATAATATAATTGAAATTTTGTCATTATTAATTTGAAAAATTTCAATACACGGTATCTAAAACGATAAGTAATGTCAATTAAGTATAAAAAGCATAATTTAATTTAAAACCCAAACAATTTTCTTAAGACATAAATTGCGTTAATATAAATGCACCACAGAAAAAGAAAAAAAAATTATTCACTACTTTGCAAATTAAATTTTTATACCTAATCATTAAATTTTATTGATGTGGAATGAAAAAAGCATTAGTGAAATAACGCTTATACGAGTAATACTCTTACATTTCTTTACTATTTTATTTAAAGAATTTAAAAAGCTTAAAAGTAACAGTCTTAATATATTGTAAATTAAAAAAAAAATGTCCATAAGACATAAAAAGAAAGAAAATATATTTGGAATTATTAAATGGAAACCAAAAACTTTATCTCATTGTATTTTACCAATTTCTATAATTAATTGGATAACAGGATTTAATATATTGGAATATCCCTTGGGAAAGCCTCAACCAATATTTACGTTTGTTTACACTTTCTTATTTGCTTTATTTTATTGGTCCTTTAAATTCTTAAGTATTTCAGAAATAAACTTTACTAACTTAACCACGTTTGCCCAAGATGTATACACGTATATTTTTTATATGAATAACACTATTGCAGCTATTTCTATTTTAATCAACTGGTGTTTTTACAAGGTACGTTTTAAAAATTCAACATATGTATTTTTTGGTATATAGGTATACCAAAAAATGTGTATCATAAAATATTGGTACTATACAAATAATTTCATTAAAATACATTATTTAAGAAGTATAAAAGGACACTTGAACAATTGGAACTAGTTGATGTTGCCTTAGAATTTATTGGTTCTTCAAAGAAATATCAGAAAATGTTCAAAATTTGTCTTTTCGAAGTAATTATATGGATTGTTACAATTTTTGTTCTTTTAATAAATGACATAGAAACGTTAATAAGAACAAACGATTGGGGCACATGTTTAATAATATTGGGCTATTTTCAAGTTCCACTTCATTGTAATTCAATTACTGACTTTACATTCACTTCAATGATCAAGTACGCTCAAAAGATGATAATAAGTACCTATATATTTAATTTTGTCCTTGTCAATCTTTATATCAATAAAATTTTTCTTGAATTTATATTTTAATTTTTATAAAATATTTTTTCTATATAATTAATTCCATTTATTAAATAACATATTTTATTTGTTCTAAATCACATCAGATGTATAGGAGTGAGATTTAAAGACATAAATTTAGTTTTAGAAAAAATTTTAATAAAGTATGAAAAACCAAAACCAATCAGTGAATTTTATCAAAAATCTAGAAAATTAAAAATATTAGTTAAGCCAGCAGCATCAAATATAATAATCGACAATCAACAGCAAAAACAATTGTTTTCAATAATAAGGTAAACAAAATTACACATGGGCAATTCCACGTCAGTCGGCCTTTTAAATTCGATTAAATGGGTCAGAATTTAAGTTGAATCAACTTTCAATAAATTCAATATAATAATATATAATAACGTTAATATGAATTATAAAATTTTATTTCAGGCAACTTCATTTGGAAATATCAAAATTATCCAGGAAAATAAACGAAATTTACCAAATTCAAATTATAATAGGAATGGGTGCACTTTTCTCAAATGTAATTTCTCTATTATATCAATTATATATAACTATTTTCTTCTCCAACAACTCTTTGCAATTTAAACTACGATCATTAATTGGTACCTCATTATGGTGTACTGTATTGGGATACAGAATTTTTAATATTAATTCCACTTGCGGAAATGTTAGTAAAGAGGTAAAATTTTCAATAAATTATTCAGAAAAGATTTTAATAAATTACCTATGTTTAAAAATGTGTGACATAATGTTAAAATTTTCTAGTTATTTAGAGTAAGTCCGGGGGAGTAGGCCATAGTTTTTTTTAAAGGCCTGTAAAAATAAGAAGAAAGTGATTTATGTATTAACTTTTATTGCTAATTAAACATTGAACATTTAACTTACAAAAAATAATACACTGAGAAAACTGTTTGGTATCATCTACTGAAGTTTGGTTCTCCAAACCAAATTTTTTATTTGATATATGTGCAACTAATCCGTTTGGTTCGGGCTACTAAATTTTTTCGTTGAATCATTTTGTTCGGTCTACCAAATTTTTTGTTTTGCACAACTAACTTATTGTTTTTAAGCAAACAAAAAATTTAGTTAAATGAAAAAAATTTTGTTCTTTTCTCAACCAAATTATTTTTTGGCTCACACTTATATTTTTTATTTTTCACTTAATTTTATCACTTTTGTTATCCTCTTTTATTACCCTATGTCTACTTAAATTAATTTCTATTGCGGAAAAACCTAACACTGCAAATCAAGAACGCTGACCACTACACTAAGAATCCTAGTGACAATGTGAGTGTAAATTATTTTCATAAAGTATACAGGCTGGAGAAAAACTTCCGTTCTTTTAACAAGCTTTATTCTCTCTGTTCGATATGCATCACTACACACACTTTTTTACCGAATTTCTGAAACACATAAAAATCCCGAAAACACTTGAATAAAACTGGACGACACGAAGAGCGAAGCATGGTTAACGTGTGACATATTTACGAGAACAGCGCATGCGCAATTGAGCATTCAGACGGTTTGGTTTGGAGAACCAAATTATTCAGTTAACAGACGCAAAAGCTTGAACGAAATTTTTGGTACAGCCAACTAAATTTCTCGATTGATTGCTTCTTTCGTTACTGTTATGTCAAATAAATTTTTCTAATCTTAACTGAAATTGCTCTACCAAATTATTTTGTTAACATTATATTATTATTTTTCTCAGTGTAGAAATGAGAAATTTTTTAAATGCAAACAATCTTAAAATTAATATTTCTTAAAAAACGCGTTTGGCCATCTCTCCCGGAATGTACGGGGGAGATGGCCATAAGCGTACGGGAGAGATGCCCAATACTTTAAAATCAATTTTTAGCTTTTCGGTTTAACAAAATTTTTAATTTAAAGGGATTAAAGTCTTTTTTTCTTGTTCTGACTACATTTCGAAAATTTATGATGAAATTCAGTGCAATTTTCATAAGCGCTGTATGTCTGTTTGTCTCACCGACACAACAAGGCTACAAGGAATTTTTTTGAGATATCAGAGTGGTTTCCAATTTATTTTTGTGTCCTGAACACGATTCCGGGTTCTGAAATTGCGTATCACGTCTGGATTTTGAGTAAAGTGGGGGTAAAGTCTCCAAAAACCGTGTTTTTGAGTGTTTTTAGAATTTTTTTTTCCTTAACCTGACGTGATAGAGACTTTTATATAGGCTTAAATTAAAACTCATATCTTACACTTTAAGACACATAGGTATGCGCAAGATAAAAGAAATTGAAATTTTGAAAAAAATTAGGTTCAAGTCACTTAAAAAAATTTTTGGGGTCATTACCCCTATTTTATCAAAATTTCAAAATTTTTTTTATTATGCGCATATGGGTTTTAAAATGTACGTTTTAAACTTCAATTTAAGCCTAGATAGAAGTTTCTAGCACCTCAGGTTAAGGAGAAAAAAATACTGAAAACACTCAAAAACATGGTTTTTGAAGATTTTACCCCCACTTTACTTAATATCCTGACTTCATACGCAATTTTAGAACCCGGGATCGTGTTCAGCACACAAAAATACATTGAAAACCACTCTGATATATATATAAAAAAGTCTTATTTTGTAGACCTGTGTTATGATTGTTTATAAACGTTTTTAAGATTTAATTACACAATATTACAATATTAATATTAAATTAATTTCACAATGTTAATACACTGAAAGTTCTATACTTTACACTTGTCAGATCGATACTTGAATATGCCTCTATTATTTGGTCACCAATGTATGTTTTTAATATTAATAGAATTGAACGTGTTCAGAATCGATTTCTTAGATTTGCTGCAAGACAACTTAATTTACCATTTAATAGTCATTCCCATGAATATAATAAGTTGCGTGATGTTTTGAATATTCCATTGGTATTGTCAAGATTTCTTTATTCTGATTTGGTTTTTTTATTTAAAGTTTTGAATGGCTTTTTTCAATGTCCTCCTCTTTTATCTGTAATTAATTAGGCCATTCCAACAAGAAATACTAGAAACTATTTGCCGTTTCGAGTGACTTTTCATAGAACTAATTATGGAAATAATGAATTAATTAATAGAATTAGTAGAGAGGTTAATACAGTTTCTGATCAAGTTAACTTTTTTGATATAAATTTACAAAGATTCACCTCAGCATTGCGTAGATTAGTGTTTAGCATAGAAAGTATTGAGCCAACCTAGTTGTTAGTTACTGTATTTTTAAGTATAATTGTAATCTTTTCTTATAAATACTACTGTATGAAAGGGCATGTCCCGTTTATTTGATAAATAAATAAATAAATATTGATTTTATTTGATCATATTTAAATTTGAAAATCTTTGTTGAAGTGTCTTGTTGTGATATATGTTATAAAAAATGTCATTTGCCACAGAATTAATGTTATTTAGCGGACACACGAATCTCATGGGTGCCAATAACTTAAACATTATGGCCATCTCACCTCGAAAAAACATGGCCATCTCTCCTAATATCAGGAGACAAATTGACACAACTGAAATTTAAATAAATAAATAAAATTTTTGAATAAATATAAATTTATGACAAAGCTTGGGTCATGTACTTTACAAAAAAACATGAAATTCAAAATTATTCTTTAAAATAACATAACACCAGTGAGAAACGTAAACTCATCACTTTTTTCCGAACTAGTCAAAACAACAAATCAGATTTTTACTTACATTTTCAATATTTTTTGTGAAGTTTTTTCTTTTAATTGTGTTTTGCCACAAAACAAAGCGAACTAATCTTTAATAAGCGATACCTAGCAGCAAATTCTATAAAATATTTGAATTGGCCATCTCTCCCGCATGGCCAACTCGCCCCCGGACTTACCCTAATTCAATTGAAAAAATATGTTGTATCACTATAAAAATTAGGCTACAATGTGTTTTAACACATTTTTTTTTGCAGTGAAGTGCTTATTTTTAGAAAACAATTTTGAAATAAACAATTCTTTATTTTATAAATAAATTTTTTAAATTATACTGAAAATAAGTATTATTTATATAATTTATATGGATTTAGTTTATTAGTTGAAAAATTGATTGACTCTTTACCAATAAATTATGTTTATATATTCTCAATATGTATTTATTTTCAATGCAGTCATGTAAAACGAGTGAAATTTTGTGTGAACTAAAAAATGCAAATAATGATAGAGAATTCAATGATGAGGTAAAAACATATAATTTTAAATCAATTTTTCAAGAAAAATTTGTAAATTAATATTATATTGTATTTGTAAATATTTTTTTGATAGATTGAACAATTTTCTCTGCAATTGTTTCAACATCCATTGATTTTCTCTCCATGTGGATTAGTTACTTTGAATTATTCATTTATCAGAAATGTAAGTATTTATATATGTAAATTTTAAACGAGTGTGTCATTTCATGTCATTTTATTAAAAATTCTTAATTTTTACTAGTTTATAGGTACAGTGACAACCTACCTTGTTATATTAATACAAATGAGTCCGGAACTACATAAAAAGAAATAAAATCGTTTTTTGTACTACAACATAGGGTCAAAGCTGAAAATCAATGTTACCTCCGAAATGTACGTTGTTTTTCAAATCTTTTTAAACGAAATGTATTTTTTTATTTAGCTGAAAATTTTTTTTTTACGAAATTATAAGTGTTATAACTTTTTGACTAAAATCAAAATATTTTTTTGTCTTTTTGAACCTGAAGGAGTTTTCACTCCTCTTTAAAAATTCAATAGAAACATTCAAAAATATTCAAAAATAACAAAATGACAACCATTTCACTAAAAATCTTTTAATTTAAATTACTTAAACACCCCACTTACTTTCTTTTAAAATTTTTTTTGTCTTTATATAGTAAAAAATATTTTCCATAAAAATTTAACTTGTGCCCGATACTGAAAGAAGAAAAAAATTTTTTATTTATTTTTTGAGAAAAAGAAAATTTTTCTTCCAAACAATAAATTTTTTTTCTCTTCTACCAGGTTGGGTACAAGTTAAATTTTTTAGGACTATGAAGATAATTAACAAAAAAAAATTGCAACGAAAAAGAAGATGGGCTTTTTGAGTAATTTAAATTCAAAAATTTTTAGTGAAATGGTTGCCATTTTGTTATTTTTGAATATTTTTTAATTTTTTTGTCGGATTTTTAAAGAGAAATGAAAGCTCTTTCAGGTTCAAAAAGAAAAAATAAAATATTTTGATTGGTCAAAAAGTTATAACACTTAGGGTCAGTTGGTGTAAATGGGGACAGTCAGTTTCATGCGTTTAAAGCTTATATAAATTTTTTTCTACTGCATAAAATTAATCCTGGGAATGTATAAATAACTTAAAAAAAATAAACCCGCAAATATTACCTTTTAAAGGAAGAAACTTATCTAATTTGAGAAAAATAATGATTTTGTCCCCATTTACCCCAACTGACCCTAAAATATATATTTTCTTAATTTTAAAATAAACGATGATTCTGACTTGAAAAATTAAATTTGTTATAACTTTGTAAAGAAAATTTTTTCAGCGGAATAAAAAAAAACAACATTTCGTCAATAAAGCTTTGAAATAAAAAAATTTTGGAGAAAAAATTGATTTTCAACTCCGACTAACTATTTTTTCCCGTGTTTGAATTCTTTCCATTATAATTATATATCATTCAAACTATAAATCAAGTTGTAAACCTCTATAGCCATTGTATATGTATATATACATAATTATAATATATGTTTGTCATTATCCTTAACATTTAGGAATAAAAAATTGGACAGCTATTAACTAAGACAACTTAATTATTCCTTGCAAACATGATATTATGAGGTGCTAAATAAAATTCGATGTTTCTTTATGTGTATCCTTATAATTTATTAACTACTATGTATCTATTCACACAAGTAAATTACTCCTTCTGCGCGTGTCAAAAAAGGTTTGTCATTGTGTATCGAAAAACTAAATATTATTTTAGTATATTAGAAATAGAATAAAGAGTGTACATCATGCGACCAATTGAGAAAAGTATATTCAAAATGGTGAAAGTGCAACCACAAAATATTCGAAATGCAATTTTTCCAATTATCATTTTAAATTGGTTGACAGGATTCAGTATAATAGAATATCCTATAAATAAATCACGACCAATATTATCATTTATTTACGTTTCTCTTTGTCTTCTTATCTATATATCTGCATATTTTAAAGATTTTCATAGTAATTACAAAGACAACAATCAAATAAGAAAGGATATTTTTTTGTATCTTAAACTTTACAGTTCAATTATTTCATCGTGTTGCATGATTATTGGCTGGTACAATTATAAGGTATGTACATATTTATTGCATTAGATTTAAAAAAAAAAGTTTAATTCGAAAGATTTTATTTACGCTGTTAATTTTAAATTTCATTGAATCAATCAAAATTTAGATTAAAAGTTTTAATCAACAACTTGATTAATTGAAGCAAACTATTTTATATACCTATGCTATTTAAATCTGAATTAGTAAAAATTTTAACTAACTTGAATTAGTGTCTCATTTTTTGCTTTCGAATTAGTTCACTAAAAAAAAAACTAGTAGGGTTTACTACTTTTTAACTACTCTGAGTAGTACAATAGGTCCTCAACTGAATTTAAACGGTTCTATTAACTATATAAAAATAGTTAAACCAATTAAAAATGTAATTGGTATAATGACATTTTATGATTGTATTAACTCAATTTAAAAATGTTAAAACAACTCAAGATGTAAGTAGTAGATTTTACTACTTAAAGTGGTTCAATAGGCTTTAAGAACATTTTTTTGGTACTTATTTTATGCCCTAACGATTATGTACCTAACAGAGAAAATTTCTAACCGACGGGAATTGAACCCTCGACCCTAACGCTCGCTATCCGATACCTTAGCCGACTAACCACGCACGCTCGCTACGACAGTCTGCAAACTACTCGAAGACTACTTTCTGCTTGTTTAATTTGTAATTTAACTATTTAAAGTAGTCATTTTTACTACTTTTATCAGTTGCTACAACTATCCTTTTTAAGTTTTGACTTGTAAATTTTTCATCTTTTAATTATATTATAAGTTGTTTAATTGCATAGTGCAGTAAAATCTACTACTTAAAGTGATAGTTTTAATTGCAAAGGATTTTTTAATTCTACGACATAAATATTCTTAAAGCCTATTGAACCACTGTAAGTAGTAAAAGCTACTACTGAAAGTAGTAGTTTTAATTGGAAACGATTTCTAAATTTTACTTCAAAAACGTTTTTCAAGCTTATTGAATTAATTAAAATAGTAAAAAATTACTACTTAAAGTAGTAGTTTTAATCACAAAGGATTTGTTAATTCTACAACAAAAATGTTCTTAAAGCCTATTGTACCACTTTGAGTAGTAAAATCTACCACTTACAGTAGTAGTTTTAACTGGAAACGATTTGTAAATTCTACATCAAAAATCTTCTTTAAGTTTATCGAATTAATTAAAATAGTAAAAATCTACTACTTAAAGTAGTAGTTTTAATTACAGACGACTTGTTAATTCTACAACAAGAAATTTATTGAATCATAGAAATTAATAAAAAATTTACTACTCAAAAAGCAGTTATCTTAATTAAAGAAAATAATTCCTTTTACTACATTTCATATAACTGGTGAATAGTAGTTGGATTTACTACTCTTGAAATTTTGAGTTGACTACAATTCCACTTGTTTTTACTACCTTAAGAAAGTTAATTTTACTACCGACCTGTAGTTGTACTTTAACTACATATTTACGTAAAATCAACTATTACTTATTAACTTCTTAAAAATAGTTACATTAACTACATGTACATGATTAGATTAACTAAAAAAGTAGTTATTTTAACTACTTTCTAGTCAACTTTCCAATTGTAGTTGAATTTCTCGGCAACATTTTTTTCAGTGTTCAATTTTACTAATTCAAAAGGAAAAAATAAGTCACTAAAGTTAAAATGTTTATACTAATTTAAATTTAGAGAGTGGATATCCAGGTGGAAAAGTTCCACCTTTGGTAGTAACTACCGGCACCGCTACCTGTACAGTCACTACCAGTAGCGAATACCGGTACTTTTTCCGGGAATCGCAACTAAAATTTGTTGTAATTCCCGGAAAAATTACCGGTAGTAACTACCGGTAGTGACTGTACAGGTAGCGGTACCGTTAGTCACTACCGGAAACGGTAAGAATGAAATAATAATTTTTTGACACATTTTTTTCAAAATATATAAGGCATGGAAGATTATTCAGCAGAGAATAATAATGATGGATGAGAATTTTATAAAGTTGGGTATTCTTCCCAAATATCGCAAAATTTTTATAAATTTATTGTGGCAAATAATTTTATGGATCACTCTGGTTTTTACACTAATTGTGTTTAGCTTTTACGCTTTATTGCAAATATTAGGTTGGGCTGAAGTGACACAACTCGTTCTCACTTTGCATTATCCAATTCATATCAATGCTGTTGTTGATTTCACATTTACTGCAATAATTAGGTGAGTATATGGTACTCTATAAATTTTAATTAGTGAGAATTCGTACACTAATTTGGATTAGTGAAAATTTCTTCTAATTTAAATTAGTGAACGAATTCTCATTAATTCGAATTTAGAGAATACCTTATAAATGTTAAAAAAAAAGTTTTTCTATTTCATTTTTCAATTTCAAATTGGAATAATTTTATAAACTAGGTTTGTTAGTATTTTGACTCTGGTTTTAACCTCAAACCCAGCGGCGTCTTGAACTAGAAATTTACCTAATTTTGAGGTTATGTCAAAATAAGTGAATATAACGTCAAAATTCAAGGTATGATTTCAAGTTCATATATCAAGAATTTAAAATCAATAAACATAACCTTAAAATTATGTCAAAACTCAGAGCTAAAATACGAACATAACCTCAAAAATTCAAGATTAAGAGGGATTGCAAGATTAAAACTTGCAGCAAACTTGCAGGAAGTTTGTCGTGCAAGATGTGCAAGATTGCATTGCAAACATGTAGCAAGTTTGGTGCAAGCAACAAAATGTTCTCTTGTAGCAAGGTAGCTTCCATTTACAACTGCGCATCGTATTAAGTTTTGCAAACTTGCAGCAAGCTTGCGCCAACGTTGCCCTGCAAGCTTGCCACAAGAGGACATTTTGTTGCTTGCACCAAACTTGCTACATGTTTGCACTGCAATCTTGCACATCTTGCACGGCAAGCTTCTTGCAAGTTTTCGTGCTGATTGGGTATACACAACAAAATTTCTTCTAAGTTCAAAGTTGTGTTTTCGTAAAAATTAAAAAAAAAACAAACTTTTTTTTATCACAGGTGTTTAGGAATGAGATTTAATGGCATTAATTCACTTCTTTGGAAAACGGTGATG